TTCATTCAGTCGCTTCCGACTCTTTGTGACGTCATGAACCAGCCCATGCCAGCGCTCCCTGTCGGCCGTCATCACCCCCAATTCCTTCAAGGTCAATCCAGTCACTTCAAGAATGCCATCCGTCCATCTTGCCCATGGTCGGCCCCTCTTCCTTTTCCCTTCCATTTTCCCCAGCATCATTGTCTTCTCTAAGCTTTCCTTTCTTCTCATGATGTGGTCAAAATACATACTTCATATTTGCCTCTAATATCCTTCCCTCCAGTGAGCAGTCGGGCTTTATTTCCTGAAGTGTGGACTGATTGAATCTTTCTGTGGTCCAAGGCACTCTCAGAATTTTCCTCCAACACCACAGTTCAAAAGCATCTATCTTCCTTCGCTCGGACTTTCTTATGGTCCACCTCTCACATCCATAGGTTACTACGGGGAATACCATTTCTTTAACTTTAACCATTGCAGTGCCTTATCCTATAGCAATTCTCAGATAATACAAAGTCGACAATAGATTTAATACATAGGTTGTTTTTGTTTGATGTTGTTTCATTTTCTTCCATTAGTAATTTTAATTGACACCTACTGGGTGACCATGGGCAAGCTGTGCTCTCTCAGCCTCAGAGGAAGGCAAAGACAGCCCTCTTCCGAACAAATCTAGCATAGAAAACCCAGGAATGCGGTTGCTGTAGGAAATGACTTGAAAGCACACAGCAACATTAAGAACAGAAAGGAGGAAACCATTAAAATCAACAAAATCTGGCTACCACTAGTTAAAAAACTCTAAAATCAGGACAGTAAGTAAAGAACAACATTAAAAAAACGGGAATTCCAAACAAGAAACAATCAGGGGCAGCTAATTGCCTCCCAAAAAAGGATTCCCCCCAGGCTGGAAGCAGCCAAGCCTTGAAGCTGCAAGGCTATTCAGTGCTAATCAAGGTGATCAGTTACAACATTCACACTTGACTCAAGCAGGTAAGAGTTCTTTCTCCCACTCTGGACATTCCACAGATATATAAACCTCACTTGCCTAGTTTCTAACAGATCTCAAAACCTCTGATGATGCCTGACATAGATTTGGGTGAAATGTCAGGAGAGAATGCTTCTGGAACATGGCCATACAGCCCGGAAAACTCACAGGTGTCCAACTGAAACATTCACACCTACCTCAAACAGACAAGAGTTCTTTCTCCCACCCTGGACATTCCACAGATATATAAACCTCACTTGTCTGGTTTCCAACAAGCCTTACAACTTCTGAGGATGCCTGCCATAGATGTGGGTGAAATGTCAAAAGAGAATGCTTCTGGAACATGGTCAGACAGTCTGAAAAACTCACAGCAACCCAATAAGAATTTGAATGTAAAATTGGCTGGAATGTACATTTTGATAAAATGCCTCACTTCTCTCCTTATGTTAATTAATGACAACATCCACAAGAGACACATTCCAGATTAAAAGGCATTATATAAGCCTCATGCATGAAACTGGCTGTAGAACACATTGTATAAAACTAAATTGCAGGGTGTGCTCCCTGCAAATAACATCTCGAAGACACCCATAATGAAATCCAAATCTCATAATCTAATTACTTTTTATCCAGTTAATGAACATGAGAATGTAATAAATATTTATAGAATGCTTGAGGTTGCCAATAGCTTAATCCCACAAGCGGGAGAAAAGGAAACTGCTGTGAGGCAGATCATCACATGTGAGCAGTTTCCTGCATTTGGATGTGTATTTTTGGTTCATGGGAAATGGGTCGGCTACTGACATGTAAATATAACCCTTCCCCAAAACATAAGCAACAAGCAACAGCATCAAATTACATTAACAAAAAAGAAAACAAAACCATATAAATGCAGTAACAAAATAACATACAATAACACTAGGTTCTTGTGGGTTTTTTTCGGGCTATATGGCCATGTTCTAGAGGCATTTCTTCTGACATTTCGCCTGCATCTATGGCAAGCATCCTCAGAGGTAGTGAGGTCTGTTGGAATAGGAAAATGGGTTTATATATCTGTGGAATGACTGGGGTGGGGCAAAGAGCTCTTCTCTGCTGGAGCTAGGTGTGAATGTTTCAACTGACCACCTTCATTAGCATTGGAAGGCCTGGCTGAGCCTGGGAAAATGTTCTGTTGAGATGTGTTAAGATGTGCCTGGTTGTTTCCTCTCTGCTGTTTTGCTGTTGTAATTTTAGAGTTTTTTTAATACTGGTAGCCAGATTTTGTTCATTTTCATGGTCTCCTCCTTTCTGTTGAAATTGTCCACATGCTTGTGGATTTCAATGGCTTCTCTGTGTAGTCTGACATGGTGGTTGTTGGAGTGGTCCAGCATTTCTGTGTTGGACTTCAATGACTTCAATGCTAATGAAGGTGGTCAGCTGAAACATTCACACCTAGCTTCAGCAGAGAAGAGCTCTGTGCCCCACCCCAGTCATTCCACAGATATATAAACCCATTTTCCTATTTCCAACAGACCTCACTACCTCTGAGGATGCTTGCCATAGATGCAGGCGAAACGTCAGGAGAAATGCCTCTAGAACATGGCCCTATAGCCCGAAAAAACCCACAAGAACCTAGTGATTCCAGCCATGAAAGCCTTCGACAATACATTGATACAATAACACAATTGCAATGACAATGAGTGGGCCACATGTACAAAATAAAATGTTAAAAACATGAATGAGATAAGAAAAGGAGCAAGTTATTTGAAAGGAGCACATAAAGAAACACAGGGTTGTGAAACTAAACTTCCCTAAACACCTTGTAGCACTATGCATCCTATAGCATTGAGCCAGGGCAGTTAGTGATATCATGCTGCATTTTCATGCACAGATGCATCCCAGGAGAGCAGGATCCAAATCCTTGCACAGGCTGGATCTATATTGCCACAGAAAATCCAGATTATCATCTTTGAGCTGGATTATATGGTAGTGTGAACTCATATAATCCGGTTCAAAGCAGTTAATGTGGAATTTCTGCTGTGATAATCTGGATTATATGGCAGGGTAGATCAAGCCTAAATCATGGAAGCCCTTCGGATGACATGGGACAAATCGTACTTTAAAAAAAAATTCCCCAATTATTCCCTCCTCAGCATCTTCTAATAGCAAAACATACAGAAGGGCTTCGGTAGCCATGGGGGTTTGATGTGTTATCGAAGGCTTTCATGGCCAGAATCACTGGGTTGCTATGAGTTTTCCGGTGTGTATGGCCATGTTCCAGAAGCATTGTCTCCTGACATTTCACCCACACCTGATTTCTCACCTCTGCAGGAGTCTACCGTGTACCATGCAGCTGTGGACAAGTCTACATAGGGACCACCAAACGCAGCGCCCAGACACGAATCAAGGAACATGAAAGGCACTGCAGACTACTTCAACCAGAGAAGTCAGCCATAGCAGAGCACCTGATTAACCAACCTGGACACAGCATATTATTTGAGAACACAGAAATGCTGGACCACTCTCACAACCACCATGTCAGACTACACAGAGAAGCCATTGAAATCCACAAGCATGTGGACAATTTCAACAGAAAGGAAGAAACCATGAAAATGAACAAATCTGGCTACCAGTATTAAAAAAACTCTAAAATTACAACAGCAAAACAACAGAGGGGAAACAATCAGGGACATCTAATCACTTCTCAACAAAGAGATTCCCCCTGGGCACTTCCAAGCCATTGAATGCTAATCAAGGTGATCAAGCTGAAACATTCACATCTAGCTCCAGCAGACAAAAGTCCTTTGTTTCACCCTGGTCATTCCACAGATATATAAACCCATTTTTCCTAGTTCCAACAGACCTCACTACCTCTGAGGATGCTTGCCATAGATGCAGGCGAAACGTCAGGAGAAATGCCTCTAGAACATGGCCATATAGCCCGGAAAAACCTACAACAACCCAGTGATTCCGGCCATGAAAGCCTTCGACAATACATTGAACTCTTGTCTGCTTGAGGCAAGTGTGAATGTTACAAATGGCCACCCTGATTATTTTATTATTTATTTATTTATTTCATCTACTTATACCCCGCCCTTCTCACCCCGAGGGGGACTCAGGGCGGCTTACAGGAAAGGCACAATTAGATGCCCAAAACACACAACAAACAATACAAAATATAACAATTCAACAATTAAAATAAAACATCAATACCTAATAAAATCATAAAAACTATCTCATGTCAGAGTCCATATATCAGAGTCCATATATCCATTCCATTCCATTGTCCTTGTCTATCGACAGGTCCTTTAGTTAGTTGTCAGCATGGCCAAAAGCTTGGTCCCACATCCAGGTCTTTAGTTTTTTCCTAAACGCTAGAAGGGAAGTCGAAGTCGTCGATCTGATCTCCCCGGGGAGTGAGTTCCACAGGTGAGGGGCCACCACTGAGAAGGCCCTGCTCCTCGTCCCCGCCAGCCTCACTTGTGCCACTGGCGGGGTCGAGAGCAGGGCCTCCCCAGAAGATCTTAAACTTCGAGGTGGGATGTAGAGGGAGATCCGTTCGGACAAATACACTGGGCCGGAACCGTATAGGGTTTTGTAGGTCAAAACCAGCACTTTGAATTGTGCTCGGAATTGGATCGGCAGCCAGTGGAGCTGACGCAACAGGGGGGTGGTGTGCTCCCTGTAGAATTTAATGGTCTTGCACATTCAAAGCCTGGCTGCTTCCTGCCTGGGGGAATTCTTTGTTGGAAGGTGTTGATTCTTGTTTGGAATTCCCCCGCTTGGTGATAATGTGGGATTTTATACAGCTGTGTGGAAGGGGCCTTGGAAGTCGGCTGGGGCTCCCTCCTTCCCTAAAGCGACTTTTCCCACGAGATCGTATTGGCTACTCGAGACTGTGAGGGTGATCCTCCTTTTCCTCTTCCTCCTCCCTCTGTTGACCAGTGGACTGTTCCACCGCCCTCCCCTCTGCTCTCTCTCGGGCGGCTGTGGACCTTCCCACCGCGGAGTGAAGGGGGGGGAGGCGGGGCCCCCGGAGAGGCACGCGTCACGTGGTCTCCCTCCCTCCTCTCGAGTTGGAGCCAGAGCCGGTGCCTTCAGCCGGAGGTGCCGGTGCGGAAAGCGGGAGCTCCGCTACCACGGCCGCCGCAGCCGCTCCAGGCCATGTCTCTTCGGACGCTGCGCCTCGAGGACGGAGACCGGCGGCTGGCGGAGACGGAGGAGGCCGAAGAAGGCGCCCCCGGGGCCCGTGTTTTGCCTCCTCCTCCTCCGCCGCTGCTTCCCTGGGACCGCTTCTCGGCCTGGCTGCATTGCGCATGCGTGGTGGGCTTCGACCTGGAGCTGGGCCAAGCAGTGGAGGTAGGCAGGAGAGAGCGAGAGGAGTGAGTGGAAGGCAGGCAGAGGGAGTGGGGATGGATGAATGGGGGGGAGAGGCCACCGAGCCCTCCCTGCTATTAACTGAGTGAAGAAGGGCAGCCAGGAAAACACAGCGCCATCACATGGGTGCCCCTCAATATCTACAATCTAATAATATATAGAAATAATAACATTGTAATATAAAATGAATATATAATAATATTAATAATGTTGTATATAATATATAATATATACTACAACTTATGATACAGTATAATATACTGGTAGTGTATTCTATATCTATTGTGGCATAATAATATAGTACAATATAATAATATTTAATTGTATATTATATATTACATGTAATATTACTAATAATAGTGCTGTCTAGTGGTATAGTACCATATGGTAATATAGGATACTAAGATTGTGCTATGTTAATACAGTAGAGCAGGGGTCCTCAAACTTTAAACAGAGGGCCAGGTCACAGTCCCTCAAACTGATGGAGGGCTGGATTATAATTTGAAGGAAAAAAAAAACATTAATTAATTCCTATGCACACTGCACTGTAGTGCAAAAAACACTTAAAAACAATGCAATAATTAAAATGAACAATTTTAACAAATATAAATTTATTCGTATTTCAGTGGGAAGTGTGGGTCTGCTTTTGGCTGATGAGATAGAGTTTTTATTATGTGCTTTCAAGTCATTTCAGACATAGGTTGAACCTAGGGTGAGGGTCGGGTAAATGACCTTGGAGGGCCGTATCCAGCCCCCGGGCCTTAGTTTAAGGACCCCTGCAGTAGAGTCTCGCTTATCCAACCTTCACTCATCTAACGTGTATTTTCCAGCACAGTTTGCCTCCCACCCAGATCCACAGCTGTTTCAATACATTGTGGTGTTTTGATGCTAAATTCATAAATACAGTAATTACTATTATTATTATTTATTTCATTCACTTATACCCTGCCCTTCTCACCCCTAGGGGGACTCAGGGCGGCTTACATAAAGGGCACAATTAGATGCCCAAATCACACAACAAGTAATCCAAAAAATATAAAATTCAGCAGTTAAGTTAAAAACAACAATACATAATAAAACATAATCCTAAAAACAATCTCATGTCAGAGTCCATACATCCGTTCTATTCCATTTGTCCTTGTCTGTCACCGGTCCTTGATTTAATTATCAGAGTGACCAAAGGCTTGGTCCCACATCCAGGTCTTTAGTTTTTTCCTAAATGCTAGGAGGGAGGTCGCCGATCTAATCTCCCCGGGGAGGGCGTTCCACAGGCGGGGGGCCGCCACTGAGAAGGCCCTGCTCCTCGTCCCCGCCAGCCTCACTTGTGACACTGGCGGGGTCGAGAGCAGGGCCTCCCCAGAAGATCTTAAACTTCGAGGTGGGACGTAGAGGGAGATCCGTTCGGACAAGTACACTGGGCCGGAACCGTATAGGGTTTTATAGGTCAAAACCAGCACTTTAAATTGTGCTCGGACTTGGATCGGCAGCCAGTGGAGCTGACGCAACAGGGGGGTGGTGTGCTCCCTGTACGCCGCTCCGGTGAGCAATCTGGCTGCTTCTCGCTGAACTAGTTGGAGTTTCCGAGCAGTCTTTAAAGGCAACCCCACGTAGAGTGCGTTGCAGTAATCCAGCCGGGATGTGACAAGAGCGTGGACCACCGTGGCCAGATCCGACTTCCCAAGGTACGGGCGCAGCTGGCGCACAAGTTTTAATTGTGCAAAGCTCTCCCGGCCACCGCTGAGACCTGGGGTTCCAGGCTCAGCGATGAGTCCAGGATCACTCCCAAGCTGCGAACCTGCGTCTTCAGGGGGAGTGTAACCCCGTCTAACACAGGCTGTAACCCTATACCCTGTTCGGCCTTCCGACTGACCAGTAGGACCTCTGTCTTGTCTGGATTCAATTTCAATTTGTTAGCTCTCATCCAGTCCGATACAGCAGCTAAACACCGGTTCAAGGTCTGGACAGCCTCCTTGGTGACAGGTGAGAAGGAGTGACAGATTTGGACGTCATCTGCATAGAGATAGCATCTTAGTCCGAAACTCCGAATGATCTCTCCCAACGGCTTCATGTAGATGTTAAATAACATCGGGGACAAGATTGAACCCTGTGGGACTCCACACAACAACGGTTGTGGGGCCGAACAGGTGTCACCCAATAACACCTTCTGGGTCCGTCCCTCTAGGAAGGATCGGAGCCACCGCAAAGCAGTGCCTCCGAGCCCCATATCCATGAGGCGGCCCAGAAGGATACCGTGATCGACGGTATCGAAGGCCGCTGAGAGGTCCAGCAGAACCAACAGGGACACACTCCCCCTGTCTAGTTCCCTGCGCAGATCATCTACCAAGGCGACCAAGGCTGTCTCAGTTCCATGTCCCGGCCTAAAGCCAGACTGTGCCGGATCAAGATAATCAGTGTCTACCAGAAACCCCTGGAGTTGTGTTGCCACCACACGTTCCATGACTTTGCCCAAATAGGGGAGATTGGAAACTGGCCGATAGTTGTCGAATTGAGTGGGATCCAGTGATGGTTTCTTCAACAGCGGTTTTATAATAGCTTGTTTTAAGCTCGCTGGAAATTTTCCTTCCTGTAAGGAGGTATTAACCATCACCTTCACCCACCCTGCCAAACCCCCTCTGGCTTCCTTGATCAGCCAGGAAGGGCAGGGGTCTAGGATGCATGTGGTGGGTCGCACTTCTCCAAGGATCCTGTCCACATCCTCAAGCTGAACGTTGCTACATAACGTTGCCATGTATTGAATTGCTTTTTCTGTCGATTTGTTGTAGAACATGATGTTTTGGTGCTTTATTTGTAAAATCATAACATAATTTGACATTTAATAGGCTTTTCCTTAATGTCTCCTTATTCAACATTTTATCTTATCCAGCCTTCTGCTGGCCCAATAAAGTTGGCTAAGCGAGACTATATTGCAATGTAATATATTGTAGATACATATAATATTGATAATAATATAATGTAATACCATAATAATGTAATGCATAATGGCGCTCCATGCTGTCATGCTGTCCACAAGACCTTGGAGGTGTTTATGGTTAATGCTTGCTCATCGGCTTAAAAATGGAGATGAGCACAACCCCCCAAAGTCGTACTTGACTAGACTTAATGTCAAGGGGAAACCTTTGCCTTTTAATATAGCAATATTAATATATTAAATATAATTACCACTGATAATATATAATGATGTACTGTTTTATTATTGTATATTTGTATATTTTAAGTTGTAATTTTTTGATTGTGAGCCGCTTTGAGTCGCTGTATGGAGAGAAAAAATGAGTGTTTCTCATCTGGCATTTTTTTGGTGAGTGTTTCTCATCTGGCATTAAATGATCAGTGTAGATAAGGCCTAGGACTCTGGAGACCAGAGTTTGAACCCCTGCTCAGTCATGAAAGCTGTTGGGTGACCTTGGGCAAGTCTCACTCTCTCAGCCTCAGGTGTGGGAAACATCCTCTGAACAAATCTTGCCAGTATAATCCAGTGATAGATTCACCTCAGGGTTGCTATAGTTGAAGACACACAAGAACAAAATCCTACTCAGATCTGATGTCTTGAATGTGGAAAAGGAGATGATTGCAAAGGGAACAACTTCATAAGGGAAGTGATACTCAAAACAGGACTCCTGGGAAGTCGGTTCTATATTATTATTGTGTGATAAGTAGCAGTTCCAAACAGTTCCTCTCCTATATCTCTTTGTGTACTGAAAGGGTGGTGATTGCAAAAGGGGACACGGAATAAGGAAAGTGATAGTAAAACAAAATAGACAGGCGTTTCAAGACTGAATATTATGATATTGTCTGACAAATAACTATTTTAGCAGTTGTTGTCTTAGGGCTCTGATAATTTGATCTCTTCTTAGTCAATGAGTTTTAGCGTTGACATTATTTTAATTGCAGCACGAGTACAGTAATTGCATGCCGTCTGGAGCACTTTTTTTTTTTTTAGTGAAAAGACACTGGCATAAGATAGGGACAGTGAGTCCTTATAGCTATTTCTGGTGAAGTTAGGTTTGCTGAACACAAATTATACAGTTTCTATACACGATCCATTATAGCAGGCATGGCAAACTTTGGCCCTCCAGTTGTTTTGGACTCCCACAATTCCTAACAGCTGGTTTTACTCTTTGTCCACAGGCATTTAAGTAAATGGCACCACCAAGTATTATGAGTCCCCCAAGTATTATGAGTCCCTCAAGTATTATGGGTCCCCCTAGGGGTGAGAAAAGCGGTATATAAATGCTATAAATAAATAATAAATTATGGATTCAAGTACTGAACTCAAACAATTTGGTTTCAACTGTAGAATTGCTCCAAAATAATTCATTTATGAATATATGGAGTAAGACAAATGAATATAACAAACTTGTCGGTGACCTATGGCTGTATATTACATTTGATGGGTAAGGAAATAAATATGCTTCCTATAAAAAATCACTTTTATAAAAAGTCAAAGTAGTGGTTAATGTTATACAAAACGACCCCTGTATCTGAGGGATACTTCCAGAACTAATTGTGGAAACAGTCGACAATAGTGAACCCTACTGAAATGATAAACTTTTGCTGGAAATTACCACAGAACCTAGAAGATTCCTAGAAAGTACCTTCCCTAGAAATGTGCTAGGTCCTCCAGCTAGATTCTGTGGTATCTTCCAATAGAAGCAAAATATAGAATTGCCTTGAGAGCCCAGATAATTTCTAGAGAAGGGCATTTTTTGTGAAACTGCTGATACTGGTCTTGCAGGTATGGCAGGGTTGCACTGAAAATAGGAAATATACTGTAAGTGAAAGTCACGGAGTACTCTTTAGACGAATCATGTGCATTATATTTCAGATTAGGTTTCCAATAGTGTTGTTGTGAGAAGGAAATGGGACACAGCTATCTATCTCATCTTAACTCCTTGGACTAATGTAGAGCATCAAGCCCATAACAGCAGCCCACGTGCTTTTTTCATTTCATCCTAACTGGAAGTGGCAGGGGCTTAGGATATATTCTGATGGCATTGATGATGGGGATGAAAAAATAGAACATACAGAGAGCTGAGCTCAGAACACATTTGACACATTCAGGCCCTCCCCGGGCAGTTCATTTTTATTTGCTATCAAGTTGACTATCTCGAATTGACCCTGTGAATGAAAAGCTTTCAGTTCATCAGCAGTCCTAATCAGTCCATGCAAATTCAGAGGTTATTTACTCAATCTGTGTTTGAATTCTGCGGACCAGTCATTAGTTGAGTTTATGGATTATGTGTTCTCTGTAATGAACTCTAGTCAGCAGCCTTCTTCTGCAGCGTTTTGGATCTGCTGAGGTTTCCAGACAGTTTCCAAAGGCGGCCCCATTCAGAGTGTGTTACAGTAATCAACGGCACTTAATCAAGTTATGTGTCACCGTAGCCAGATCTGATTTCTGAAGGACGTTCTTAACTGTGGAAATACGCTTTTGTTTCACATTTCAAGAATAGTTAAACTGATTAATAAGCTTCTAGAACAGTGGTTCTCAACCTTTTAAGTCCCCAGGTGTTTTGGCCTACAACTCCCAGAAATCCCAGAGAGTTTACCAGCTGTTAGGATTTCTGGGAGTTGAAGGCCAGAACATCTGGTGAGCCACAGGTTGAGAACCACTGTTCTAGAAGGTTTAATTAATTTTAATTGTTTAAACATTTAAATTTTTAAATAGACTTTTGTTATAAGCTGTCCGGAGATATTACAGTTGGCCTTCCGCATTTACAAGTTTGATTCTTGCAGATTTGATTAAGATGTCCTCCCTAGGAATCTCCAGGTTCTCCAGCATATCTCTGTGATCAGCGTCTGATGGAGGACCTAGAAATTCCTAGAGAGAACACATCTTCCTTAGTTCTCCTATGTGATTCTGTGGTCTTCTTCCAAATGGAAGCTGACCATAGAATCATTCTGGAGAAACAAATATTCTGGAGATTTTAAAAGAAATAATTTGATAGTGGAAAGCTGACAGGACCTAAAACAAATACAGTATTTCTAAGGAACAGCTAATATCAACATATCCGGCTCATTATCTTGTATTTTTAATGGTTGCTAAGTAAATAACATTGCTTTCTTTAAAAAGAAATAAGGAAAGGAAGAAAATATTTTTTTCTGATTGAGATACTGAAATGCTAGTTTTGTAAATGTTGTGGGGTTGTGAAGAGGCTGCAGACTTGGACATTCCTATTTCTGCACTGATTCCTCCCTCTGTGCCTTGGTTATTTTAACTAAGCATCACTGTGAAATCTGAATATGTCAGGTTACCAAATCGTGCTCTCTTAAATGTGGTTTGGTTTGGTTTGGGCAAACCAAAAAGAAGAATTGGCACATGATGGAAATAGCAACCTTCTTCGAGCCTGTGTTACTTTTAACGAAGTCTACTTTATTTTCGTTTCTTGAGAGCATGATATAGAAACAAGATGTTTTATGGGATAATATATGTTTTTGGGCACAGAAAAGAACACTTCTGAAGAACTGCTATGTTTTGTGCATTGGTATAACCTCTGTTCCTAACAGATCAGAGGCAACTAGGTTATCCGTGTAACAACTGAGAACCAAATTGCCTTTCATAAGTACATATGGATATATACCTCTAAAGAGAAGATGTTCCTCAAATGAGTTTTTGGCTCTTCTCTGGAAGATCATACTTTTACAAAAGATTATAATTTTCAAATGATCATGAATGCCATTTTCTCCAAAAGGTTATGATCTCTTAAAAGTCATGCCTTTCCAAAAGCACATGAAGAGAAAACTTCATGGCCTTCAGACCATTCTTCCAAATATGATGCCCTCAAAACAACCACTTGTACATGAATGTAGTTTTGGGCAATGCACATTATCCATACATGCTTGGGTATTTCTTCTTCCCTCCTTTCATGTATCCTAGAGGAGGCATTTGGAAACTTCTACCGAAACCAAACTAGTACCCAAACCAGGAACTGTGGGTAAATCTAGCAATGATTTAATTTCAACAAGCCAGAAATAATAATTTGAAGTTATCTTGTTTGAATCAGTCATATTTAGTTCATAACTTTCTTACTTTCTCCAAGCACTATAGAAAGAGGGAAGGTTATATAGGTACGGCTATGCTTTCATGTGCATTTTAGTAACGCATGGATGCTTGCTAAGGTTGCTGTAGTATGATATACCATCATCTTTTCATGAAGGGTTGAGCATCTGTTAGAACTTGGACAGTGATTCATGGAGTCACATTTAACCACTTAAATCTGTATAGGGTTGAAAAGGAGGGGTTGTTCCTAAATGTAGTAAAATTGTATTAGACAATTGGGGCATTCTTGACAGTTTTTGAACAACAATATTTTATCAAAAGTTGTTGTGACCCATGATAAGTCTGCAAAAAAACCCTCAAAAACCTGGAGGAGTGCAGGCTATATAAGCCACACTTTCCCCTAGTGCAGTGGTTCTCAACCTGTGGGTCCCCAAATGTTTTGGCCTACAACTCCCAGAAATCCCAGAGAGTTTACCAGCTGTTAGGATTTCTGGGAGTTGAAGGCCAAGACACTTGGGGACACACAAGTTGAGAACCACTGCCCTAGTGTAATGTGCTTTCTTGAACATATACCCATCTCTCTTTTTTTGACATCTTGGGTCTGTTTAGTACTTGGGCTAAAGGCAACCAGGACATACCAGATATCTCTAGATATATCCGGGAGAGATTACTATATGAAATCCTAAAAATTGCTGCCAATCAGAGTTGGCATCATTAGTTTAGATGGATTAGTGTTCTGATTCTGTGTAAAGCTGTTCCCTTGGTTTGACATATACAAGAGTGGTATTTATCTCCTTAAAATAAATACCAATATAAGGGAAGTGTTATTTGATGTCCTTGTGTGACAAGCTCAGTTTGTATCAACGAAGTCATAAGTAGCCTTCCATTAGTGCCCTTTGTGATTCAAGGAATGCCATATCATATCTGTGGAGGTAAGGAGTGATTTATTAACCATTAAAATAAATGATTATGCAGGAATAAACCGCTTTCTGTGCGTCAGATATTATGTGGAATGACTTTTGCAGTAATTGATGATGTTTTTGATTATAATGTTGTTGTTAATACTGGATTGTGGATTGTTTTAGATTGTGTCTTGAATTTTGAACCCTGTTTTTCTATGTTGTACACTGCTGTGAGTCGCCTTCAGGCTGAGAACAGCGGTATAGAAGCAAAGCAAATAAATAAATAAATAAAATAAATATGGGGAAATCCATGGGCTTGTTCTCCAAGTTGCCAATTCATGCTAAATTCCTATACTTCAGATCGGGTTTTGAATGTTACAGATTTGTATAGAAACCCACAATATACACCCAGATGCTGCTGGATGTATGCAAACTCTCTGAAAGCTCTTTAGAATAAAGCCTAAGAGTTATAGATTACAGTTGCAGAATTGAAGGATATGTGCTACTTTCTGAGAATCATGTTTTTACAGGCAGATTAGGAGATACCACTGCACCCAACTTGGAATATAATCAATTGTTTTATTATCCAACTAATCTGTAGTTTGTTATTTGCAGGTAATATATCCTCAACATGCAAAACTTACAGATAAAGAGGTGAGTAGAGGCTTCAAAAGACATTTAAAACATACCCTTTTCCCTCCAATATTTAACTTTTATTTTTCTCCCCTAGAAAACCAATATTTGCTATTTGTCTTTCCCAGATTCCAATTCAGGTAATTATTTATTGGATCTGCATGCTGTGTACAAATGTAAAATATCAATGTAGTGTTAGGATAGAATTTTGCTATAACTATACTTATTCTAGTTAATTTTAAACTCTTGTATATATGATAGTAAATCATTTTTCATACCTGAGGAGCTGGAAATCCCTAACAAACAATGATGAATCCACTGTAAACTGTTGCGAATGAAGTATATAGTTACCCTTACAGAGCTGATGAAACTCAAATGTTGCCATAATGATTGCAGAAATTAGCGTAATCCTACTGAATTCTTTGAGACTTATTTCTCAAGTGAATGGCTATAGGAGTGCAGCGTAGTCTAATTGTCAGAAACTATTTGTTTGGATCAGTGTTTCACAATTTAATGTGGAAAATACACTTTATTTGTTCCACCAGTAGCAACATTTAATTATACATGATGACTGAAATTATTTGCATGATCTATTTTCTGGTGATATGATCCCACTGTACCCCAGGTCTGCAGAAGTCAGGCTTTCTTAGGGACACTCAAAATTATTTCCCCTATTTCATTTTTTAAAAAAGTAGGCTTCTTGCAACCTTTAGGAGGGGTTAGGAGCAGCAAATTTGCCTGGTTTTCAGATGATCATGAGTTTTAGGCCAGGGAGGCTTAAAGAAACAAACTACAAGTTTCCAGAAGTAACATCAGGTTTTGAATAAAACCCACCCAAGCTTGGCACAGCTTCGGAGAAATACGATAGAAGTATTCCTGTGCCTCTTAGAAGACGTGAGATGTCTTTTCCAGTTTTTTTTTAAAGGTAGCTGCAGGTTTCTGGGGACCCTTTCCATTTTGTGGTCTGCATAATGAGAAGCAGTGCTGTGTTTGAGAGGCAGTGACAAACAAAACAGCATGTAGTGGTTGATTCTACTTTTTTCTCTCCTGTTCATTTGAAAACAACCCCTAAGTCCTGACATGGAAACTAGAAGAAGACTTCAATTTCTCACTAATTCTGTGCATTCTGTGAACAACCTTTCCAGGGTGTTTAATCATAGAATCAGAGAGTTGGAAGAGACCTCATGGGCCATCCAGTCCAACCCCCTGCCAAGAAGCAGGAATATTGCATTCAAATCACCCCTGACAGATGGCCATCCAGCCTCTGTTTAAAAGTTTCCAAAGAAGGAGCCTCCACCACACTCCGGGGCAGAGAGTTCCACTGCTGAACAACTCTCACAGTCAGGAAGTTCTTTCTCATGTTCAGATGGAATCTCCTCTCCTGTAGTTTGAAGCCATTGTTCTGCGTCCTAGTCTCCAGGGAAGCAGAAAACAAGCTTGCTCCCTCCTCCCTGTGGCTTCCTCTCACATATTTATACATGGCTATCATATCCCCTCTCAGCCTTCTCTTCTTCAGGCTAAACATGCCCAGCTCCTTAAGCCGCTCCTCATAGGGCTTGTGAACCATTGAGTGTTGTGGGCTCACCCAAGTGGGGAACGTTATGCAAGCCAGATTTTCCTGCTTCCGTTTTTAGCAGTTCTATCTTTCTGTCCTCTTAGTGTATCCTCAGACAACATTTTATGATTTCAACCGCTTAGGATGTGATCACTTAGGGCAGTGGTTCTCAACCTTTGAGTCCCCAGGTGTTTTGGCCTACAACTCCCAGAAATCCCAGCCAGTTTACCAGCTGTTAGGATTTCTGGGAGTTGAAGGCCAAAACATTTGGGGAGCCACAGGTTGAGAACCACTGTCTTAGGGATCTAGGGATTTAGCTAGGCTTCAGGGTGGGGCCTAGGTAAAAGTATTAGCAAGTACCACACTGCACAAAAATAAGGAGATACAAGAAGGCTACTGTACCTCAAATAAAGTTAATGTTTTATTAATTGGACTTTGGATTAAAATGCTAAATAAAATCACAGTGGCTTTCAACTTTCCAATGCTTTTGTACTCCTCTCTGGAATGCCAGAGGCTAAGTTTTCTTTGAGTGAGCAATGTAGTAGAACACAGCCCACATGGTTTTTTTAAATTTACATTGTATTCACAACAAAGTGGTGAATTGTGGTTGTGATGATGATGAATAACATCAACGTATACACAAAAAGTGTGAAGAATCATCCCTATGAAGAGCCTGTTCTTTTCAGACCTTCCATTGATGATAACTGTGCTACAGTGGGAACATATTTATTAAAATTTTAAATTGCAGTACTTTACTTCAGATGTCATGTATGATTCTGCATTCTTTCTCTGAGAACATTTGAGAGATGCATCTTCATGTGCCCCACAGTGTGTAGAAGTGGTCTGAATGATACTTTTGTCAACTTGAAAGATAACTTAATGATGCCCTGGAATAACCTGATCATAAAGCATGGCTTTTCCTATTTTATCTCATTTATATAAGGCAATATACAATAGGTCTTGAGCATTCATAGATCTTGGTATTCGTGGGAGTCCTTGAACCACAGTCCAGCGGACGCTGAAGGCCTGCTGTACTTGTGAACTGGCAAGGTTTTTTTTTTTCCTGCCAGGATGGAAGAGGGTGATATTTGCACTAACCATTGTATTTGGTAATGCTTGTCCAACATAAACCAGTGGCCTCCTACAGTGTGCCTCAGCGGGTTTGGTTTCTATAGGTATTTTTTCTTCTTTGGTAAGGTCAGATAAGTATCTCTTAGGAATGCTATAGCTAATGTGTACTTTCAATGTATTTCCAACTCAGTATAGTACTTGCTGTTTTCCTTTCTTTCCTTCTTGGCCCAGGTTGCCTTGGAGACACACAGTTTTGTTTTAGATTCCGACAGTCGTCTAACAGAAAGCTTTCGTGGCATTGTCTGCTGGACCAGTTTGACAGAGAACTACCCATTTACCTGAAGGTTGGAAAGTAGACCCTTTTCTCTTGGCAAACAGGGCATTTCTTTTTAATGTTAAGGAGGCAATGACAATAATTTCATAATGAAATTACCAAGTTCATTTTAAAGCTTGTTCTTCAAAGGCATCTCTCAGCAGATCTCCAACATTGGTTTATGTTGTGTGACAAAACTAGCAAAACATTCTAATGTTTAGCATGCTAATTATCCTTTGTACTGGAATGTAGATGGTAAACGGCAACTTCTAAACTCCTCTCCAAATTTTATCCATTCTTTCAGAAGCTGATCTGAATGTTGCTATGCTCAGTAGTATTCTTAATTCCTCTAATCCGGTGGTTCTCAACCTGTGGATCCCTAGATATTTTGGCCTTCAACTCCCAGAAATCCTAACAGCTGGTAAACTGTCTAGGATTTCTGGGAGTTGTAGGCCAAAACACGTGGGGACCCACAGGTGGAGAACCATTTCTCTAATTATATAACTCTTTCTTTGTTTACTGTCAATGAAACTCCGGAGCATTGTTGTGGGCGTTCTGTATCATACTTTCTCGGAACCACAGAGTTTGTAAAATATAGTATAACAACAGTTAGTTTCTTATAATTTCAGAAATGTTGGATCCTAAAATATAACATCTATCTTTCCATATTATTTATTTAGTGCAGTGGCTATTTGGGTTGCGTGGAACTTTGGAGGAAGTGCTTAAATAGTTAGAAGTGACATAGGCAATATTAACTGAAATTGTAAATACACTGAAGTGATATTCTCATGGAATATTATGAAGGCCTCACGTAGGATGAAATATGGAGGCCCCGATGGTGCAATGGGTTAAACCTTTGTGCCGGCAGGACTGCAGGAGCGGGGTGAACTCCCATCTGTCAGCTCCAGCTTCTCATGCGGGGACATGAGAGAATTTTATTTATTTATTTATTTACTTTGCTTGTATACCGCAGTTTCTCAGCCCGTAGGCGACTCAACGCGGTTCACAACAAGAGCAAAAGTCAATCGAACAGCATACAATATTTAAAACCATTAACAGCATAATATACAAAATAATGACACATCAATAACAACACATCAACGTCTCGTAACTAAAATCGTGATCCAATTCATCATCCATAATTCCATTTCCTATATTCATCGTTCATTGCACTATTTATCCGAACGCCTGTTCAAACAGCCAGGTTTTTAGTTTTCTTCGAAACACCATTCACGAAGGGGCTGATCTAATGTCCATGGGAAGGGCGTTCCACAGCCGAGGGGCCACCACAGAGAAGGCCCTGTCCCTCGTCCCCGCCAGCCGTGATCGAGAGCAGGGCCTCCTCAGAAGATCTTAGAGTCCTGGTGGGTTCATAGGCAGAGATACGTTCGGGTAGGTAGCTTGGGCCAGAACCCTTTAGAAGCCTCTCATAGGATGGTAAAACATCTGTGCGTCCTCTGGGCAACGTCCTTGCAGATGGCCAATTCTCTCACACCAGAAGCTATTCACACTTTCTCAAGTCACTCCTGACACGCACAAAAAAGGATGAAATATGTTGTTCTCTGCACTTCAGGTGTGCCTAAAATTATGAAGCATAATGAAATACTTTGATATTTCTTTTCAGAGGGATCCAGCATATTTTTATGGCTATGTGTATTTCAGACAAGTTCAAGACAAGACATTGAAGAGAGGCTACTTCCAGAAGGTAATTTTATTTTTAGGAGGGGTGTTTATGGTTGCTATTTTAAATGCATTTACTACAGACATTATTTTGATTGAAATCAATACAGTATATTCCACAGCATATGCTGAAAATGAAGGATTGAATATCCTGTAGTGTTAGGCGTTTAATTCTTCAGTTAAGACCAATAAGGTAATGGTAGACGATCGCACACAATTGCTGATGTTGTTTGTTTATTTAAAACATTTTCCCTGCCCTAATCTTAGCCAGAAAGTCTCTCAAAATTGTACAAAATATGCAATCCAACCTTTTTGTCCTCAGAATTTCAATCTGTGCTTAAGACATGACATTCAGGAAAAAGTCATGGTGGTACTTATACTAAAGTGCTTATAATGAGTGAATAGAAATTATTAAACAATCTTGGAAAAAAGTAAGCAAAGAAAATAGAATAGTGTGATTATTCTACAATATTGTGTCTAACTCTTATCGATACAGCAGCATACAGGGTTCCAGACACATGTTAGTAGAAAATGTATTTGGAATACCGTGAATAGGAAAGTGACTTCCTGTGCTGTTTATCTTGGACTCCAGATAAGTCTGTTAGGTTTTTTTGCAGGCAGATATATGCAGCATCTAATTCATCCAACAGATGTATTCGTGTACACCATAAACAATACTTTTTTCTTTAAGGGATTAAAAAATATCGGAATACTGAAAGTATAAATATATGTGTGCATGTATGAATGTATTTAGCAAAGAGACTGATGAATAAATCACACTTACTCTGAATACTAATGGTGGTTTCGGCAAAAGCTAAACAGGAATAATTTTGATTTGTTCTAGTCCTTGGTCCTGATCAGCAAGCTGCCTTATATCCACTTTTTTCACACTGTGCTTGGACAAATTGCACCTGAATACTTTGACAAGAATGATCCTTACTTGGAAGCAGGTTGGTAATACTAATGAGCCATATGTATTGAAATATGCAAATTAATGTAAATTGAATATTTGCACAATTCTAGTAAAATAGAAGTATATTTGGGTTACGGAAAGGTACATCAGATAAAATTGATAGGTTTCAGAATGCTTGTGTATAGGTACTCAGTTTATCAGCTGCAGAAAAATTTGTGGTACAGTCAAGTGGATAGTGGTAGTTCCAAGTAATAGTCATTTGTGGTTTTAATCTGTGGTAATGATGGTGAGAGAGAGGGAAATCTTTTATTGAAGGATCAACCCCAAAGAGTACTCACCAGTGGTTCCTCTTAATCTTGGAGAGAAATGGCTAGCAGTGGTTCTCAACCTTTGCGTCCCCAGATGTGTAAGCCGCACCGAGTCCCTTGGGGAGATGGTAGCGGAGTATAAATAAAGTTTTATTATTATTATGGCATATTGGGGGGGGGGGGAGGGTATGAACCCAAGAAGTACTGTTGTTAAGAATATGTTTTGTAATGTCCAAGGCTTTCATGGTTAAAATAACTGGGATGTTGTGTGGTTTCCGGGCTGTATGGCCATTTTCTAGTAGCATTTTCTCCTGACGTTTCCTCTGCATCTCTGGCTGGCTTCTTCAGAAGATCCTCTGAAGATGCCATCCACAGATGAAGGCAAAAGATCAGGAGAAAATGCTGCTAGAACATAGCCATACAGCCCAGAAACCACCCAACACCTCAATACTTTTTGTGTTTTGTACACCGAAGTCATGGACAAAGGACTTGAAGGGCTGAGATACACCACTTAATTTTTAGAAAGTTGTACATCTTGTCTGTTGAAATCAGCCTGAGAATTTGGTCTTTTGATGTGGTCATTGCTTCTTTCATGGAGGAAGAGACCACTGCACATTTTAAAGGAAGTTGTGGTAAGGGTTTTGTTGAAGGGAACCCAACTTGGAGTCTGCGGCTTTTGATAAATATACCTAGTGTCAAATTTACCATTCTGGAATGAGCTGTAGAATATGTGTGGCCTCTCAAATTTTAGTGATACTGAGTTATTACACCCAGTTGAATTTCAGGCCTGGTTATGAAATTGAAACAGAGTTGATTTTACTGGTTGATGACTTTTACTGTTTAATCTAGAGTTTTATAACCAAGTTCCACCAGAGATTACTAATGGTTCCACAGAGATTGTGACTAAAAGTATTTTTTCCAACTCCAGATGTAGAGCAACAGTGGTTTCCTGGGATCTGCAAATTATTGCAAGGGTCCCTTGAGAGTAAAAAGGGTTTAGAGATACTAGACTAAGTCACTGATTCTAAAACTGTGGGTCCTGACCCCTTAGCTTAGTGTTAGGGTCCCAAAGATTTAGCAACTGTAGAAGTTTTCTGAATATCACATAGTTACTATTTCATACATGTACCTGAGTCATATGTGCTCACATTGAGGCCTCCTGTATTCAGAGACGTATAAATGTGGCATCTTTCTGTTTTGTTTATTTACATTGGACTTAAGTAGGTCAGTGTTAATGCAATTTCAGCATTGTTTTGAGATGCAATGACAGAAAATAGCACTGCTCCATTGAAAGGCCATTGATCTGTGGCGGAGGGAGGAATATGCAGCCTGTATGCAGACCCTGAGCAGTTTTTTGGCCGGCCAGGGCCTCCTGCACATCTTGCATAATGGGGGAAACTCTGCTGTGTTTTCATGCTTCTGGGAAGTTGTATCCCCAACAGAAGCCTTTTTAAAGAATAGGAAGTGACCTGGTAAATGATGTTTGATGTATTTGATAGTTGACGATGATTTTCTAAAATTAGTGTCCATTTTCAGCTTGCAATGATATTGATCGATGGCCACCACCAGTCCCAGGGAAAACCCTACATTTGCCTATTATGGGAATTGTAATGAAGGTAATTTTATATCAGTGCTTTTCTTGTTTGTTTGAATCTATTCACATGCTTTGGTTATATTGTATTTGTATGTAAATATGAAAAAATAGAAGCATGGTCTCATAGCACTGATTTTACGCTTGCAAGGCCAACAGTAGGTGGGAAAGGCAAGTAGTTCTTAAGAAAAGTTAAAAAATACAAAAAAACAGATATTTTTCTTGATACACTTCCCAGCTAAAAGTACCATATTTTTCCGTTTATAGACTGTATAAGACTATTCAGTGGTGGACATTTTAGTTTATTAAATTATACATGCTTTATACTCTTCTGATGAGATCCATAACACTGAAGAGTGCTTAACATTAACTGGATCATGTGTTAAGATTATCCCTAGTACAGTGTCTTCCAGTAAACAAATTAGCATTTATTTAGGAGCCAATCCTTTTCTCATTAACAATACTGGCTGTTTTTATCTGTATTCTTGAACTTTTATTCATAATTTTCTTCTCTGAAGACTTCGGATTGCTCATAGGGATCACACCTAAGTAGATGGCATAGTAAGAAACAGACCTTAAAAACGTACCTGTTTTCACTAGAACTCCCAGCATCCATAGCCAGTATCTGCCAGAAAGTAACTTTTCCAACTCTGGTTAGGGATGTGTGGGTTTTGTGTTTTTAAAGTTATTTCAGTAGCATTCTTTTTTTAAAAGTTGGTTTTAAGGAACAGCCGTTAGCTGCAATATATTTGTGCAAATGTAAAGCTGCTGAAGTATTCATTTCAGAAGAAATGAACACCTCTAATTTATAAGTTGGCATTAATTTTATCACTACAACTTGCAATCTAAAACCTATGGTATCTTTTTCTGAAGATGCGGATTCCTACTTGTCATGACAAGCCTGGAACAACTGAAGTGCTACAATCCACATACCAGGTAACTCACCAGCCACTTAAATACTCATTCAAAACAAAGGGCCAACTTTCAGATTTCAATTTAACAAATGTATATTTTATAATATAGGAATAGAACTGCAGGTAATGAAATGTAAAATGAGAAATAGGAATTTTATAATTTTCATATTTTTATAATTTTGTCATTGAGATTTTTATGTGCTGTTGATTATACTGATGTCATTGTTTATATTATACAGTTATCTGCATGTGGCACTCGGAGTGCTTCTGTGAGCCACCCGAGTCCCTTTGGGGAGATGGTAGTGGGATACAAATAAAGATTTATTATTATCATTATTATTATAACTGTACAGAGTAAGTTTCAGCAAGCACTAACGTTATGTTAGAATCCTGATGATTTCAGGGTTGTTGTAAGTTTTTCGTGCTGTATGGCCATGTTCCAGAAGCATTCTCTCCTGACGTCAGGAGAGAATTCTTCTGGAACATGTGGCCATACAACCCGAAAAACTTACATCCCAGTGATGCCGGCCATGAAAGCCTTCAACAATAGACTGATGATTTCAATTTTATTGAATCTGAGTTGATGTTTTTATATGTGTTTGTGTTTTATTTTATTGTATTTTCTATTGTGCTTCATTTTTATGTTTGTTTTTAGGCACTTTGTGCCATCTATAAGCCGCCTCGAGTCCCTTCAGAGAGATGGTGGCGGGATATAAAAATAAAGTCCTTATTATTAATCCTGAGCAAAAAACAATTCTGTTCTGTCATGGAGAGACTACAGCTGTAAAGAAGTTCATGAAGGCTATTTCTGTGGCCTCCAGGCCTTTTTCAGACTCCACTCCCAGTGAAAATAGGAAATTATCCCTGCACCTTCACAGTTGCGCACCCCAATACAGAGCCAAGAAAATATTATTCTCAGTGGTCAGGTTTAGTAAGTGTCCCCAACTATAGTTCTGTGCCATAGGTTTAGTACAGGGATGGGAATCATATGTCCTGCTTGCTCTTACTGGAATGTAACCTCTCTTGTTTGTTGATTATGCTAGCTTTTTTTCAAAAATAAAGCGCAGGCGCTTCAGAAAAGCAAGAAAAACGGTAAAAGGACTTTCGCTGGTTGTAAAATTTTAAATGCAGTTTGCCTCATTTGTAGTTTTTTGATTAATAGCAAAAAGTGAAAACTGAGCATTATAGCTGAAGAACCTATATTGCCTGCTGCAAAAATCAAAGTTTTTGCATTGATCAACATGAAAACTCCCAAGGAGCTTTCTTCAAGACCTTTGTCATTTGATATACAGTTAAGAAGTTGATTGATACTGGTCTGTCAGCCAAAATCAAGGAGCAGTTTGTAAATGAATTTGTGCTCCCCCCCCCTTATTTTGCCTTGCAAATGGATGAATGCACAGACATAACAAAACAAAGTGACTTTGTTGTGCCAAGTTAGACTGAGCACCAGAGACATATTTTTGAATACCTAGTGTTAATCTCACTACAGCTGAAGAAGTATTTTAACATGTTTATAATATATCATGACATGGATTTGTAGAAAGGCATTGGAATTAGCACTAATAGGGCATGAGTTATCTCTGGAAAGCTTATTGGACTTGTAGCATGGATTAAGGTAATCATATCATCAATGACTTGGTATCATTGCGGCTTAGATAGGGAAGCTTCTGTTGCCTAGAAAATATCAGAAAAACAGAAACCTTAAATGAATCAATCAAAATTGGCAATTTTATAAAAAGCAAATCTCTGAATTCAAGATTTTTATTAGCTTTGGAAAGTTGTGCACAGTGAACATCATTTGCTTTTTCACAAGGAAAAGTTTTGTCTCATTTGGAGGAATTTTAGAGACGAGATAAGATTATTCCTCATGCATCAGCAGTTTTTACCTCAACAGTTACACAGGTTTTTCCTGGTTATTAAAATTAACATAGATGTCAGGTATCTTTACCCATTTAAATATCCTCAATTTAAATATTCAAGGAGAAAAAGTTACAGCTATTAAGTTGAAGACAAGTTCGAAGCAATGATGAAAAAAGTTGGAATTCTGGCATCATTGCCTATCAAACAGAAACTGTGAGATACTTCCAAACCTAACTAATGTTCTTGATTCTATTGACAAAGAGTTGTCTAAGAAGGATGTATCACTTAACACACAACATTTGAAAGATTTGCAGCATATTGTCGAAGGCTTTCATGGCTGGAATCACTAGGTTCTTGTGGGTTTTTTCGGGCTATAGAGCCATGTTCTAGAGGCATTTCTCCTGACGTTTCGCCTGCATCCATGGCAAGCATCCTCAGAGGTTGTGAGGTCTGTTGGAAGTAGGAAAAATGGGTTTATATATCTGTGGAATGGCTGGGGTGGGGCAAGGAGCTCTTCCCTGCTGCAGTTAGGTGTGAATGTTTAGCTGATCACCTTCATTAGCATTTGAAGGCCTGCCTGAGCCTGGGAAAATCTGTTGCTGGAAGGTGTTAATCTGTGCCTGGTTGTTTCCTCTCTGTTGTTTTGCTGTTATAATTTTAGAGTTTTTTTAATACTGGTAGCCAGATTTTGTTCATTTTCATGGTCTCTTCCTTTCTGTTGAAATTGTCCACATGCTTGTGTATTTCAATGTCTTCTCTGTGTAGTCTGACATGGTGGTTGTGAGTGTGGTCCAGCATTTCTGTGTTCTCAAATAATGCTGTGTCCAGGTTGGTTCATCAGGTGCTCTGCTATGGCTGACTTCTCTGGTTGAAGTAGTCTGCAGTGCCTTTCATGTTCCTTGATGCGTGTCTGGGCGCTGCGTTTGGTGGTCCCTATGTAGACTTGTCCCCAGCTGCATGGTATACGGTAGACTCCTGCAGAGGTGAGAGGATCCCTCTTGTCCTTTGCTGAACGTAGCATTTGTTGGATTTTCTTGGTGGGTTTGTAGCTTGTTTGTATGTTGTGTTTCCTCATCAGCTTCCCTATGCGGTCAGTGGTTCCCTTGATGTATGGCAGGAACACTTTTCCTCTGGGTGGATCTTCATCTTTACTCTCGTGGCTTGTTCTTGGTCTTGCAGCTCTTCTGATGTCTGAGTGGAGTATCCATTGGCCTGGAGAGCCCAGTTGAGGTGGTTCAGTTCATCTTGGAGGAGGTGGGGTTCGCAGATTCTTTTTGCACGGTCTGCCAAGGCTTTAATGGTGCTTCTTTTTTGACTTGGGTGATGGTTGGAGTTTTTATGTAGATATCTATCTGTGTGTGGGTTTTCTGTAGACGGTGTGACCCAATTGTTGATCTGGTTTGCGGATGACTAGGACATCTAGAAATGCAACTCAAGCAAGACCCAACTGCCAAAATAACCAAGAAAACCAACACCCTGATTAAGAACTCCTCCATAAACTTTGACATACGACAACAGCTATGTAAATCGGAAGCCCATCCACCCAGGCTTTATGGACTCCCAAAAATCCATAAGGACTCCACCCCACTCAGACCCATCGTGAGTGCCATTGGATCCCCCACATACGACCTAGCAAAATTTCTTGCTGTACAGTTACAAAGCCATATTGGGCTCACTACACACTACATCAAGGACTCAGCCCACTTCATAGAAAAAATCAGCAAATCTCAAGCTAAATACAAACGACAAACTGATCAGCTTCGATGTGGTATCTCTATTTACCATGGTCCAGGTAGCAGACACAATTGCACTATCAACCAAAAGTTCCCAGAAGACATCACAGCTCTGTTTCACCATGCCTCACCATCAGCTACTTTCAGTGGGACAATGAATTCTACGAACAGAAAGATGGAGTAGCTATGGGGAGCCCTCTCAGCCCGGTCATAGCTAATTTCTACATGGAACACTTTGAAAACAAGCCCTGGAAACAGCAACCAAAAAGCCCACGATATGGTTCAGATATGTGGATGACACCTTCACCATTTGGAGCCATGGAGAAGAAGAACTCAACAGGTTCCTGGACCATCTTAACAGCATCCACCCAAAATCCAGTTCACCATGGAAAACGAAAATGAAGGAAGACTGCCTTTTCTAGATGTCCTAGTCATCCGCAAACCAGATCAACAATTGGGTCACACCGTCTACAGAAAACCCACACACACAGATAGATATCTACATAAAAACTCCAACCATCACCCAAGTCAAAAAAGAAGCACCATTAAAGCCTTGGCAGACCGTGCAAAAAGAATCTGCGAAACCCACCTCCTCCAAGATGAACTGAACCACCTCAACTGGGCTCTCCAGGCCAATGGATACTCCACCTCAGACATCAGAAGAGCTGCAAGACCAAGAACAAGCCACGAGAGTAAAGATGAAGATCCACCCAGAGGAAAAGTGGTCCTGCCATACATCAAGGGAACCACTGATCGCATAGGGAAGCTGATGAGGAAACACAACATACAAACAATCTACAAACCCACCAAGAAAATCCAACAAATGCTACGTTCAGCAAAGGACAAGAGGGATCCTCTCACCTCTGCAGGAGTCTACCGTATACCATGCAGCTGTGGAAAAGTCTACATAGGGACCACCAAACGCAGCGCCCAGACACGCATCAAGGAACATGAAAGGCACTGCAGACTACTTCAACCAGAGAAGTCAGCCATAGCAGAGCACCTGATGAACCAACCTGGACACAGCATATTATTTGAGAACACAGAAATGCTGGACCACTCCAACAACCACCATGTCAGACTACACAGAGAAGCCATTGAAATCCACAAGCATGTGGACAATTTCAACAGAAAGGAAGAGACCATGAAAATGAACAAAATCTGGCTACCAGTATTAAAAAAAACTCTAAAATTACAACAGTAAAACAACAGAGAGGAAACAACCAGGCACAGATTAACACCTCCCAGCAAGAGATTTTCCCAGGCTCAGGCAGGCCTTCAAATGCTAATGAAGGTGATCAGCTAAACATTCACACCTAACTGCAGCAGGGAAGAGCTCCTTGCCCCACCCCAGCCATTCCACAGATATATAAACCCATTTTTCCTACTTCCAACAGACCTCAACACCTCTGAGGATGCTTGCCATAGATGCAGGCGAAACGTCAGGAGAAATGCCTCTAGAACATGGCTCTATAGCCCGAAAAAACCCACAAGAACCTATTTGCAGCATAGTTTATGTGCCTGTTTTCTGTTCCTAGTGTAAGCAAAAACTGGATTTAAGATCCATTTCTGCGAATGTTTATGAACAAGAGTAGCTCATAGTAGCAGAGCTATACAAGCTCATGGAAATATCTGTGGATGGTGCTCTGAAATTACAGTTCAAGGAACAGTCCCTTCCTAATTTTGGGGCATATTTACAAGTTTTCTGTAATGATTGAAGCGGGCTGTGAACATATTAATGCCTTCTGTAATGGCATACTTGGACTACATTTTTCAAATGGATTTGGTACTTAAAAATAGGCATAGCAACCAAAAAGATAGTCAAAACTCAGAATACAAGTTTCAGCTCAAATGCAGTACGCGTCTTCTCATTGATTAATTAATTAAAATAAACATGTAATATGAGACCAAGGTTCAGTTTTCAGGTTTTGTTATTATTAATTTATAAGGAAACATTCCAATAAAAATCATAATAGGAGTATGCATTTACACATTTCTCCTTTTCTAGAGGCCGTTTTACAAAGACCGATAATGTGAGAATGATCTGAAATGGGCTGCAGGCGGACTTATTGGGGCTCCCCAAACCACCTTCGGGGTGGTAGGGAGTCCTGACTGCCCAACCATGCCTAACACAATTAGGTGTGGCTAGGTAGCCACAATAGAGCTCCCTCCCCAATTCCATTCCCATCCCACTCAGCAAGTGGGTGCTCAACCCGAACACCTGTGAGAAGATAGATGGGGTGTCTCAACCTGCAACAGCTGCCACATGGGGGAAGGGACAAGAGGGGACTGACCCAGCTGTCTTGACTGCCCACTAACTGGTGCAGAATTCAGATTCCTCCTGGGATTAGCTGGATCAGTCCTGTGTGACATTTAGCTGCCATGAGGCTGATCCACACACACTAACCTAAGTGGACAATGTAGTTGTGCCCCAAATTTGAGCAATTTCAAATACGTATTTGTTACATTTGAGCATTTTAAATCTTGAGTTAAGTCTTGGTGGTGTGCAGCAACACAAGTTACACTAGGTTCATAATAAAAAAAAGTTTAGGAACTGCTGTCACAGTGCATGCTGGGGTCAGAGGGGACAACGTTGGACTTGTGAGATGCTCCTTTTTATTTTAAAAGACCCCACCAAAATCCTCATATTTGTCAGCTACACCCTGATGCAGTGGCACAACGGGTTAAGCCACTAAACTTCAGAACTTTTTATCCAGAAGGTCAACAGTTCAAATCCGCTGGACAGAGTGTTAGCCCTAGCTTCTCCCAGCCTAGCAGTTCAAACACATGCAAATGTGAGTAGATCAATAGGTACCACTTCAGCGGGAAGGTAACTGCGCTCCATGCAGTCATGCTGGCCACATGTCCTATGAGGCGTCTACGGACAATGCTGGCTCTTCGTCTTAGAAATGGAGATGAGCACCACCCTCATAGTCAGACTCAACCTTTACCTTTACACCCTGGTGTAAGATAAATTAAAGAACCTTAGGCCCAGAAAGTGATTTTGAGGACCAGAATTGAGTTCGTTCCATACAAATAGTTTGCCCATGTAAGAAAGCACCCCTGGTATTCTAGACTTGTTTCAGTTCAGTAATATACTCGTATCTTTGTGAGAGAAACACCTATTTTGTTGTTAAGCAGTTGAAACCTTTGGTAATCTACTACAGAATGATCAGAGATGTATCAGTAGATCCCATTCTACCATCTTTCCACTTCTGGTACAAGCAGCCTTTTCCCACTGTCTGGTGGTACTCTGATCAAATCCTTTTGTCTTTTTAGGAAGACACGCAAATCTCCATTTCTTTGCCTACTGTCCATGAAGTGGATCTCTTCAGGTAAAAACACGAAATATGCAGTGGCTTAATATTCTTAAGTCCTGGTTCTGATACATCCCATTCTATGAGAACTGTAGAAGTGAAGGGCTTAAATTTATATACTAGCAAACAGGTTGAGCATAAGAGACCTCTTTGCTGATAATTCATTGCTCCCGTGGAAGTTACAGGATGGCATATGTGTTCATAGTAGAATTGTAAGAATTACTGTTGTTACTCAGGAAGAGGTTGAGTAAGATAAGAAGGCAAAGAGATGCCTAGAGGCAGTTCAAAGCTGACTTGAGCAACTAATTGGAAAACAAGCACCTTTAAAACTTCTCCCTTGCTGCCTCAATGTGGAACACATTGTTATCTTGCGAGGAGATTCTAAATAGAGTGCAAGGAGAAAGAATGTGAAGGCTGTAGGGTGTTTGCTCACTCCCTTGCTTCTAGTTCATAACCCCTGAGTCATCCCAGATGGTATTTCCTTGTAGTAGCTGCTGCACAATTAAGTAATTCTGTTTGTGGCCACTGCCTCTCTGTGGCCTGACTAAAGCTGGAGCTGGTCATTATGTGCTCTCTGCTTCCAGTTGTGCTGACACCTTATCCCCACTACTTTGCTATTTATTTATTTATTTACTTTGCTTATATACCGCTGTTCTCAGCCCGGGGGCGACTCACAGCGGTGTACGACATAGGAAGAACAAAATTCAAGACACAGTATAAAAACAATTCACAATCCAGCATTATACAAAAACATCGTCATTACTACAAAACCCATTCAGCGCCGTCTCATCGTGCTATCCCTATACTTGTCCCCTTCAAGAAGGCTCAATGATCTTGCATGTTTTAGATTCATAGGATGTTATGACTCAAGGTCACATTCTCAGTTGCATATTTTCTTTTTATTCACTCTTCCTTTCATTTATTTGTACCAGGCAAGAATTTTGTTAAAAATACTGTGCTTGTAAATCTGTTTCAGATGTTTCCTGCCCGTGTTCTTCCACATCCAGATGCTGTGGGAACTCGTGTTGTTAGGGGAACCACTCGTTGTCATGGCACCCTCTCCATCAGAGTCCTCCGAAACTGTGTTGGCACTTGTCAGGTAAACAAATGGAGGAGTTTTAAAACTGCATGACTGTGATCTCACCGTGAGTCACAGAGTGTGAATGCTCTAGCAGAAGCCATAATCTCCTGGCATTTGCTTAAAAAAAAGACACAACCTCACACAATGAAGAAAAACAATCAGATAAGCCAGGTGTTGGTAGGAGTATTGTGTTCTGGAGAGAGGGTTATTGATAAATTCGTGGCAATAAATGCATTGATTGAGACATCAATGACTTCCTTTTTCATGGAAGTGCCTTTTCGTGCTATTTGAGGATCTCAGTTTTGAGGATAAGAAGGAGATTAATATGAATTGTTCAGAAGCAACAATTTTGAAAGTTGGCTGAGATAACTACGGAGTTTACTTAGATTAAGTAGAATACAGAATAAATGTCACATGTGCTCTTACAGTTACCCTTATATGTGTTTATTTTTGCAGTTGTATCTCACCATTGAAGTACTACAGTGATTTTAGACCTTATTTTACAATACATGACAGTGAATTCAAAGAATACACAACTCGTACACAGACTCCGTAAGTAATATGAATTCCAGTTACAAAATATTATCCAGAGTAGTTTTTGTTGTGTGCTTTCAAGTTGTTTCCAACTTATGGTTGATTCTATGACGAATTGATGTGGGTCTTTGCTGGCAAGATCTGTTCAGAGGGTATTTGCTATTATAGAACCATAGAATTTGAAGAGACCACAAGGGCTGTCCAGTCCAACCCCCACTATACAGGAATGTGCAATCAAAGTACTCCTGACAGATGGCCATCCCACCTCCTTAAAAACCTCAATAGAAGGAGACTCCTTCACACTCTGAGGCAGCATACTCCACTGACAGACAGGTTTTACCATTAGGAACTTCCCTTAATTTCAACACTATACTCCTAAAAATGCAGTCTAGAATCACATTGGATTTTAAAGCTGCCTCATTAAACTGTTGATTCATGTTCAGTTTGTGGTCTACTAAGACTCCTAGATCTCTTTCTCATGGACCATTTTCAAGCCAGGTGTCATCCATCTTGTATCTATGCATTTCATTTTTATTGCCAAAGTATAGTACCATACATTTCTCCCTGTTGAAATTCATTTTGTTCATTTTCAGCCCAGCTCTCTAATCTGTTAAAGTTATTTTGGATTCTGATCCTGTCCTCTGGAGTGTTAGCTATCCCTCCTAATTTGGTCTCATTTGCAAATTTTGATAAGCAAGTCATTTTTATTTTGTCATGCAAGTCATTGATAAGGATGTTGAATAGCACTGGGCACAAGACAGACCCTGTGGCATCCCATTGGTCACTTCTCCAGGATGAGCAGGAGTCTTTGGTCAGCACACTTTGGGTTCTTCTGAGGTTGAGAGATTGTGATTTGCCCATGGTCACCTAGTGGGTTTCTAAGGTTGAGCAGAGAGAGTATCGGCACATTGTGCTCAGAGGGAACTCCGTTTAGGTAGTGATACTTCTTGCTGAAGAAATTGTGTATATGATTCCACCTTTAAAGCATTAAGTATAGACAAGTAAAATCTATTTTGAAATATTAAAAGAATTTTGTCCATCAGCCATGTACTGATTAGCTACTAATGAACTATTTTGATTGAATTTCGTACATGAGAGATAAGAAATAGAAAATAGCTGATGTCTTGTTATAGCTTTATTATCTTCCAACATATAGAGATTGTGATTTGCCCATAGTCATCCAGTGGGTTTCCACGGTTGAACAGAGAGATTGCAGTATGTAACACATTTTTTGTTCCTGAGGTATAAATGTGATTTCTTAATTGGTTCTATCATAAAAACATGTAAAAAGTTTATTAATCTGCAATAGCTTTGTTTTTGCAGGATATCCTGTGGCACATTTTGCTATAGTTTTTCAATGAATATCTCATAGAGTCTTACCCAATTCAGCATAGTTTGTGGCAGCCACAAAAACAAAGTTTTTGTAGTATAACAACTACTTTCAAAGTATGTACCACACAATTAAACAGGAAATAACACTAAACCAAGAACAGAACATCTTTCAAATTATCAGCACATCATGCTCAGAGATAATTCCCTTTGGGTAATTCCCTTTGGCTGAAGCAATTGTGTATATGAGACCAGCTTTAAAAGCATTAAATATAGACAAGTGATATCTATTTTGAAATCTTAAAAGATAACTTTGTCCTTCAGCTTTGAAGCTATGCACTAGTTAACTGCTAATTACAATAACTATTTTGATTGAATTTCCTACATGAAGGATAGGAAATAGAAAACTGCTGATGTCTTGTTGTAACATTATCCTCCAACATATAGAGCTTAAAACAATAGTTATTTTGTTTTTAGGGCTTTTAAAAACACCCTTCATCTGTTGCTGCAGTATTTATATATTTATTTTGTTCTAGAGCAGGGTTTTCAAACTTTTGAAGTGAGGGGCCTGTTTATGGTTCTTCAGACTCTTGGGGGGGACGGGACTATAGTTTGGAAAAAAAATGAACCGATTCCTATACACACTGCACATATCTTATCTATAATGCAAAAAAAAAAATGAAAGACAAAACAATATTTAAGATGATGAACAATTTTCACTAACATAAACATACTAATCTTTTAGTGGGAAGTGTGGGCCTACTTTTGGGTGATGAAATAGTCAAGTTAATTAGGATTGTTGTTGTGTGCCTTCAAGTAACTTCAGACTTAGGGCAAACCCAAGTCTAAAATTTAGGGCAGGGGCCAGATAAATGATCTTGGAGGGCCACATCCAGTCCACGGGCCTTAGTTTGGGGACCCCTCTTCTAGAGTAACCTGGCAAGTAAAGCTAACATGAGCTTCATTGGGCTGTCACAGATCAATGACAACATCGTATACTTGAAACAGTATAATTTTGAAATTCCATCTGAGAAAGAACATAGTGGGCATAAATATCCTAACATGGAAACCATCTTTGTGGGCAAATTATTTTTAGGAGTGAAATTGTATTTTTCTTAACCAGCTCCAGAGGGGGGAAAACAATTGAGGGAATGATGGCCCTTTGTGTAAAATGAGACAATCAAGAAACATGTGGTTTAACACATTTCAAGCAGAGTGGTTACATTCCTCTGTGGCTTACCTTGAATATTCTGTGTTGTATCTAAGCTTTCCTTTGGCAGGATATGCCAGTGGAGTAAATATTTAAATATTTAGCCACGAATGCAAGAACTGATCAAGTTGCACTTGGACCTAAAGGCTTTATAGCAGGGCTGGGCAAGGTGCGGCTTTCCAAATGTTGTTTAACTGCTAGTCCCATCAGCCATAATCAGAACAATCGATGGTGATGAATCTGGGAGTTGCAGTTTAACAATATCTGCAGGGTCTGCCTCTGTTTAAAACCTTCCAAAGAAGGACACTCCACCATACTCCAAAGTATCAGTATATTCCACTGTCAAACAGCTCTTACCATCAGGAAGTTCTTCCTAATATTTGGGTGGAATATTTTAATGTACAATTTGAATCCATTGCTCCTTGTTCTAGTTTTCAAAAGAGTAGAAAACAAATTTGTCTCTCCCTTCATGTGACATCCTTTCAAATATTTAAACATGGCTATCATGTCTCCTCTCTGTCTTCTTTTTGCTAAGATATCCAGCTTCTTAAGCCTCTCCTTGCATGGCTTGGATTCTAAAATTTTTATTATTGTGATTATTATGCATGCAGTTTACTAAGCGCCAGGATAAAAAAAAATTAAACCAAACAAAAACAGTTGTTGTTGACAAGCTTACAATGATTTAAAATAGTACAATCTTTTCCAACCAGATGTATATTAGATGTACTGGAGTTAAATTCCTATCAGCCTGCAGCTAGCAATGCAAATAGTCAGGAATGCTAGTAGTTGTAATTTGAAACCTCTGGGTATTAGATTGAGGAAGACCACAGTTAAGTATGTGAGCACTTGCACCTCAGTGCTCTTTATTGTTTAGAAATTCAGTAGAGTCTCGCTTATCCAACCTTCACTCATCCAACATTCTGTGTTATCCAACGCAGTCTGCCTCCTGTCCAGATCCACGGCTGTTTTTCTAGGGAGCAACATGCAGCAGGCCTCTCTGCACTCTGGGCACCCACCATGAGGAGTGAGACACGGCTGCGCAGACTTTTCCCATCTGGCACAGCATCCAACCTGCACCAACTGTATCTCACCCCTCCTGGCGGGTGCAATTTAACATTTAATAGGCTTTTCCTTAATCCCTTTTTATTATCCAATATTTTCGCTTATCCAACGTTCTGCTGGCCCATTTATGTTGAATGCAAGACTGTACTGTAATAGGTATTGGTTGTCAGGAATAGACTGATGTTAGGATACAAAACAAATATTTGAAGGACTTGTGGCTCAGTGAGTATTTCTAAATGACACAGTCAGTATTGTGGAGCTTTAATGTTAAATATGGGGGGGGGGTTTAAGTCACTCGTAGTTATTCTGCTTTTGTAGGGGTTTTGCACCTCTAAGCCCTCTGAAAGTGGATGGCCAGCTGTACTCTCTTTGGTAGCTTGAGACTAGTGGGCAGGCGTTGGCCCAACAACAGGGTTCAGTCTTGTATATTCCTTGAGCAGAATTGCACTCACAGAAGTAGGAGAAGGGAATTTTTTCAACCTTCCCCCTCCCTTTGTCTCCAAAAATTTTGTCCATTGTATACCGTGATAGGTGGTTCAGGAGGCAGTGTGGGATCTAAAAAAATACTCTTCCTTTTCTGCATCACAATCCTTTTGATATTTGGGCTGCAAGAAGATAACAGAGTTGTTGTTCTTCAACTTGATAATTTGGAATAGGTGAGAAGCTTATTGATCTCATTGAAACTCTTCTACATTTCAGGCCTTCTGTCATATTAGGAGTGACAAATCCATTTTTCGCTAAAACACTGCAGCACTGGCCACACATCATCCGAATAGGAGACATTAAACTATCAGGTGAGATCTTTACACAGTTTGTTTTGAAGTGTACAGAATACAGTCAGTCCTCTGCATCAGTTGTGGGTGCAGAATCCATTGATTCTACACCCACAATCCACAGCTTGAAAATATTCCATTTCTATTTCCAAAAAAGCAAACCTTGAATTTTGTCATGTAATACAAGGGACACCATTTTATTATGGCAAAGTATATAATGAAACTTGACCATCCACGGATTTCGATATCCATTGAGGGGTCCTGTAACCAAACCCCAGGAGATACACACTGTACTACAATTTAGTAACATTCTATTGCAAATAGGCAAAATTATGCTGGAATTAAAACAGAATCAGACCAATATGCCATCAGAATGTAAAGCACTATCCGTGTATTTCTGATGGCTGTTCTGGCCCTTGGCAGTTGCTGTTTTGGTAGCTATTCCCTTGGCGGTGCAGAACATTTATGTCCGTATGACAAACCAGCTTCACCAGAGCCTGCAAGTTGGTACATTGCCATGTGGGTGAAGGAGGAACTGCTTGTGTGATACAGTAGTGGATGTACCTCCTTACGGAGGTGTGAGGAAACACTACCACTTCCATAAATCAGTTATACCAACATAATTTCACCAAATGATTCTGGATTTAGGTATGTAATTTAGGCTTTTGGATTTAGGTATGGAAAACATGTAGCTTGACTTCATATTACTGTTTGACCTGAATCAGTTTACAGATGGAAATTGATTGAAGGTGAAGTAGTGGATCAGACTAAAGGAACAATTTGCTATTGTGCTTCAAAACTGAATGATATGTTAAAGTGAAAATGGTAGACTATATAAGCAGTGGCATCTGATATGGAAGTAAAAGTCTTACCCCAGCCTAATCTCTTTGTAATGTCATCCCTAAAGTATGGAAAGGAAAGTGGTACGGTAATTAAAGCATTCTCTCTCCAATGGTTTAATTCTGGAATGGTGAAATGCTCTTGAACTGCCTTTTTTTCCCAGCAGGAAGTAGAACTGTGTTGTTTTTCCCCTGCTGTTCTTTCCCTTTACTATCCTATTGTATCAGAACAAACAAAGAAAGCAGTTGGCTGAGCCTTATTACTATTTCCTGGCACCTACATAAGAGGCTGCCTTATGTTGCATGAGATCATTGGGCCTTTTGGCCAAGTATAGTCTGTGCTAGCAGTACTCCTCACCTTGATCACCTTTAGATGCATTTAAGTGCAATCTCCATCATCCAAAAACTACATGGATAGGGAAAGGATGGTGGTCAACATGGTCAAGGAGCAACTCTCAAAGGTCCTCAGTCAGAAGTTTTTCATAACTAAGCTGCCACAGATTCCTTCACTTGGAGATAATCATGGATTAGACCGGTGTATTCATAGACACAAGGCATGTGCCCTGCCCCAGAGAAAGAAGGGATGTGTTTCACAATAGTCTTTAATAGCAAGGGCAGCTTAGCCCAGTTTGCCATAATGTCAGGCCTTGGGTTTCCAAGCCATGGAGAAGACACGTTTAGAGGAAGTTAATACTTTGCCCTGCTGAATAAAAGTAAAGAATGGTAATGCAAGGTTGAATTCTCTAAAGCTAACAAATAGAGGCTGTAAAGTGTGTTTGCTTTTTTAAGGTTTTGTGTGTTTTAGATTACCACAGTAAATACTGTCTTTTCCAAGATTAATATGAAATCACAGTTAATTGCAGTTTACCATTGATTTAGACATTTAAAAATTAAAAATTAAACTTTCCTTTTATTTGCATATGTTGTTGTTCATTCGTTCAGTCGTCTCCGACTCTTCGTGACCTCATGGACCAGCCCACGCCAGAGCTCCCTGTCGGCCGTTACCACCCCCAGCTCCCTCAACGTCAGTCCAGTCACTTCAAGGATGCCATCCATCCATCTTGCCCTTGGTCGGCCCCTCTTCCTTTTGCCTTCCACTTTCCCCAGCATAATTGTCTTCTCTAGGCGTTCCTGTCTCCTCATGATGTGGCCAAAGTACTTCAACTTTGTCTCTAGTATCTTCCCTCCAGTGAGCAGTCGGGCTTTATTTCCTGGAGGATGGACTGTTTGGATCTTCTCGCAGTCCAAGGCACTCTCAGCACTTTCCTCCAACACCACAGTTCAAAAGCATCGATCTTCCTTCGCTCAGCCTTCCCTAAGGTCCAGCTCTCACATCCGTAGGTGACTACAGGGAATACCATGGCTTTGACTAGGCGGATCTTTGTTGTCAGTCTGATGTCTCTACTCTTCACTATTTTATCGAGACTGGACATTGCTCTCCTCCCAAGAAGTAAGCGTCTTCTGATTTCCTGGCTACAGTCTGCATCTGCAGTAATCTTTGCCCCTAGAAATACAAAGTCTGTCACGGCCTCCACGGTTTCTCCCTCTATTTCCAGTTGTCAATCATTCTTGTTGCCATAATCTTGGTTTTTTTGACGTTTAGCTGCAACCCGGCTTTTGCGCTTTCTTCTTTCACCTTGATTAGAAGGCTCCTCAGCTCCTCCTCGCTTTCGGCCATCATCTGTTAACTTCATATCTGAGTTTGTTAATGTTTCTTCCAGCAATTTTCACCCCAGCCTTGCATTCATCAAGCCCCGCACATCGCATGATGTGTTCTGCATACAAGTTAAAAAGGTTGGGTGAGAGGATGCAGCCTTGCCGTACGCCTTTCCCAATCTTGAAGCAGTCTGTTGTTCCGTGGTCAGTTCTGACTGTTGCTACTTGGTCCTTGTACAGATTCCTCAGGAGAGAGACAAGGTGGCTTGGGATGCCTATCCCACTAAGAACTTGCCACAATTTATTATGATCCACACAGTCAAAGGCTTTAGAATAGTCAATGAAGCAGAAGTAGATGTTTTTCTGAAACTCCCTGCCTTTCTCCATTATCCAGCGGATATTGGCAATCTGGTCTCTCGTTCCTCTGCCTTTTCTAAACCCAGCTTGAACATCTGGCAACTCTCTCTCCATGTATTGCTGGAGTCTTCCTTGCAGGATCTTGAGCATTACCTTACTGGAATGAGAAATAAGGGCCACTGTACGGAAGTTTGAGCAGTCTTTCGCATTTCCCTTTTTTGGTATGGGGATATAAGTTGATTTTTTCCAGTCTGATGGTCATTCTTGTGTTTCCATGTTTACTGGCATATGACATAAATCACCTTGACAGCATCATCTTTCAAGATTTTAAACAGTTCAGCTGGGATTTTGTCATCTCCTTCTGCTTTGTTATTAGCCATGCTTCTTAAGGCCCATTCAACCTCACTCCTCAGGATGTCTGGTTCTAATTCACTCACCACACCATCAAAAACTATCCTCGATATTATTATCCTTCCTATACAGATCTTCTGTATAGTCTCGCCACCTTCTCTTGATCTCTTCAGCTTCTGTTAGGTCCCTGCCATCTTTGTTTCTTATCATACCAATTTTTGCCTGAAATTTGCCTCCAATGTTTCTAATTTTCTGGAAGAGGTCTCTTGTCCTTCCTATTCTGTTGTCTTCTTCCACTTCCATGCATTGCTTATTTAAAAATAGTTCCTTATCTCTTCTGGCTAACCTCTGGCATTGCGCATTTAACTGGGCATATCTCCCCTTATCACTGTTTCCTTTTGCTTTCCTCCTTTCTTGGGCTACTTCCAGTGTCTCAGCAGACAACCATTTTGCCTTCTTGGTTTTCTTTTTCTTTGGGACGTACTTTGTTGCCGCCTCCTGAACAATGTCACGGACTTCTGTCCATAGTTCTTCTGGGACTCTGTTTACTAAATCTAGTCCTTCAAATCTGTTCTTCACTTCCACTGTATATTCGCTAGGAATGTTAGTGAGATCATATCTAACTGGTCTGTGTATTTTCCCCGATCTCTTTAGTTTTATTCTAAATTGAGCAATAAGAAGTTCGTGATCTGAGCTACAGTCAGCCCCAGGTCTTGTTTTCACCGACTGGATGGATGTCCGCCACCTTTGGCTGCAAAGGATGTAGTCAATCCGATTTCGGTGTTGACCATCTGGTGAGGTCCATGTATAAAGCCGTCTTTTAGGTTGTTGGAAGAGAGTATTCGTTATACACAGCGAGTTTTCCTGGCAAAATTCTATCAGCCTGCGTCCCGCTTATTTTGTTCTCCCAGACCATGCTTGCCTGTGATCCCAGTTGTCATTTGACTTCCCACCTTGGCATTCCAGTCTCCTGTAATGAAAATAATGTCTCTTTTTGGTGTATTATCCAGTAGGACCTGCAGATCCTCATAGAACTGATCTACTTCTGCTTCTTCAGCAGCTGTGGTTGGGGCGTATATTTGGATCACTGTAATGTTGAAAGGCTTTCCTTGCACTCGAATTGAGATCATTCTGTCATTTTTTGGGTTGTATCCAAGCACCGCTTTAGCGAATTTCTTATTAATTATGAAGGCTACTCCATTTCTTCGATGTTCCTCTTGTCCGCAGTAGTAGATCTGGTGGTCATCTGATGTGAAGTGGCCCATTCCAGTCCATTTCAGTTCGCTGACCTCCAGAATGTCTATCTTTAGTCTTGACATCTCACCAATAACAACATCCAATTTGCCCTGGCTCATAGATCTTACATTCCAGGTTCCTATGGTGTGTTGATCTTTAGAGCATCGGATTCGTCGTTCACCTCCAGTACCGTCGGCCGCTAGCCTTCCTTTCGGCTTTGAGCTAGCTGCATCATCACATCTGGGGCTAGTTGAACTTATCCTCTGCTCCTCCCCAGTAGCATTTTGGCCATCTTCCGACCTGGGAGTCCCATCTTCCAATGGCATACCGACATATCTCTGGTTGTACTGGTCCATTTAGTTTTCTTGGCAAGGATTTGCCAATAAAAATTTATGTGCATATAAAGTGGCATAAGACTTTGTTTTTGAACTGAATTAAACTTAACACACTATTTGGCTCTCTGTTTATCTTCCAGTTTCATGGGGGCTAGGGGTTCAGGCAAAAGCAAAAAGATTGCAATTTTTCTAAAAAAAACTTTTTAGCTGGGAGAACATCTCTCTAGGGATTTCTAGGTCCTCCGGAGAATGTTGATAATAATCTTACAGGAGGAATTAGAGAAACATTATTAGTCAAATCTGCCAGTAATTGAATCTGCAAAAATTAAACTCGCAAATATAGAAGTCCAATTATGTCTGAATTTAATGGATTTAAATGAAATATGTAGGATTCGTATGTTAGTTTAGAATCCTACATATTTAGAATTTACTCCTAAATTGGCATGCAAAGTATTGGACTGCTGCTCCTTGATTTTGTGATTCTCCCACATCCTCCCCCACCCCCACAAAGCCTGGTGTCACTTGAGGAAAAGGGATTGTTACCTACACTAGCCTCAAATCAAAAGCTTTAGGAGGAGAGAAAGAAACACATAGTTCTATTAGGTCTCAAAGCAAACTCTAAATATTTGGACTGCCTCTGTCATCCATTGTTCTAATTACTAGTTTTCACCTCTTGAGCTGAAGGCAAAGGCTAGGACGTGGTTTGGTACTGTGTAGTAGGGGTGATCTGAGTTCCAGAAACAACAAAACCTAGCCATCTTCTCAGAGGCTGGAGGGGGATCTAGAGGGTAGGCATCTTGAGATCTGGTCCATTGTGTCCTCCAAAACTTAGCACAACCATATAAGTCTTTCACCATTCCATTTCCAGCTCCAAAGCAGACAGATGGAGGAAAGATGAGTTCTGTTGTTTACTTTTGCCAGAATATTTGCCATGGCATAGGTGGCAAGCAGAATTTTTAACTGCTGTTACATGATTGCCCATACCAAAGGAAAAAAAATCCTAATGGTGACAGGTGGTGGCCTTATCAACCAGCCTGTGGGTCTGCTGTCCAAGGTGCTGAACCCCAGTCACCAAAACATGTTCAGCATATTGGATAGCGTCCTTTAAAAGTTCAGAGTAATACTCAGATGATCTCTATTTTGGCAGGTGAAGTCCCAAAACAGGTGAAAGTGAAAAAACTGAAGAATCTAAAGACGCTGGATTCTAAACCTGGTAACAAATTTCAGTATTTTAGACCTACTGTTTACAATGTTTTTTTGTTTTTGTTTTTGGTGAGGAAGATCAGGCGGAGAAAACAAATGTGTATTTTTTCCCTCCTAGGTGTCTATACATCTTATAAGCCATACTTGAACAGAGATGAAGACATAATAAAACAGTTACAAAAGGTAGTCTTTCAGCCTAGTTGTTGAAGCATTAGTTGAATGGGAAGACAAAGTGGTGCATAATCCCAAAGTTCTTGGTGCAAAGCCCTCCCAATATCCTCAGCCTTTAAAAAATGTGATTGTGGTTTCCTGCTGAAATGTGATGCAAGCAACTACAGGCAGTGTGCATGTGTGTGTGTGTGACTGACTTCAAGTTGCTCATTGCCTGGTTTTTACATGGGTTTCTTAGAGCATATTCAAGAGATAGTTTTGTTTCTGTTTTAGAAGCCTGTCTGAATACAAAGGTTTGAGGCTGCTGCCAGAGAGAACCGGGAAGAGGCCATTCTGTCCTCTCTGAGAAGGGAATCCCAGAGCTCTGGGGTGACCACTGAGAGAGCTGCTTCTTGTGTCCCCAACAAAGCATGCTTGTTCTGGTGGTGGGACTGAGATAAGAATCTCTCCTGATGATCACAGAGCTTTGACCTGCCCATACAAGAAGATGCAATCTGCCAAACAGCCTGGCCCAAAGCCATATAGTGCTTAGAATTGTGCCAGAAACAAACTGGTCGCTAAAAAGAGCTATTATCACAAGGGAGTTGTGTGGTCCTTGTAGACAACTCCAGATTACAATCTGGTTGCAGGTCAATAATGGTGAAAGTACATGTGATATTAAAATGGTTTTACATAATAGGATTCATAGCATTGGAATTTCTTCCTCTTGTGGTAATGGTGATGTGCTCTGATTAAGTACTAAGCCCTACACTTTTGTTATGGCAAAGTGAGTGGGACAATTAAACACAAGCTAATAGTTTTGTACTTAGTTCTTAGCTTTTGGGAAAAGTGGAGGTCTGAAGCTCATATACTCCTCAAATTTTTTGCAATCAAGATGTTGCCACAGAAGTCGCCATCCCCCACAACTGGGGGAAAAAGTTTAGCCACATTTCTAGGGGGCTTGGTGTTTTAGACCAAAGTGGTCTTTTCCCCACTTTCGGTCACTTACTGGTTGAGTAAAAAATGCCTCTTGGACTCAGCAGTTGCCCAGCCTTGTTTTAAATAACCAGTCAAACTGAGGTTGCCTGATACATAGAAATGTACCCAATGCACACAAATGTAAAGTGCATATGAGATGTATTTATAGATGGGTTATAGTTAGTTAAACATCTTCAACAAATTTGGTTAATCATTGTCCTCTTTTTTGGTTTTGTTTTGTTTTTTAGGGAGTACACCAAAAGCGTCCTGCAGAAGCCCAAAGCATAATCCTTCGACGTCATTTCTTGGAACTGACTCAGAGCTTCATTATTCCATTAGTAAGCTTCTGTGAAATTTTCTGAAGGTTTTACTGGGGACTCCTCTTTGAATACCTGGTCAGTGGCCTGTAGGGTCCCTCAGGATTCTGTTTTGTCCCCCATGCTGTTTAACGTATACAAGAAACCACTGAGAGAGGTCATCTGGAATTTTGGAGTATGGTCCCATCTATATGTGGATGACACCGAGCTCTACTACTTCTTCCCACCTAAAGCCAAGTAAGCTGTCCTGACCATAAACCAATGTTTGCCATCAGTAATGAAATGGATGAGGGCAAACAAATTGAAACTTTATCCAGACTAAAAAGAGGTGCTTCTGGCAGATCAGGGAATAGGAATTCTGCCTGTGCTGAATGAGGTCACTCTCCTCCCATTTATTTTTAGATGCTTTGAAACAAAGGGAACATACGTTTGGATTGGTCAGATCAGAGATGAAAATATAAGCATATTTTGCACTTCATTTGTTTCCCTCTTTTTTTCCAGGAACGATATGTAGCAAGTTTGATGCCTTTACAAAAAAGCATATCACCTTGGAAGGTGAGAATATCTTCAAGCAGAACATTAATTCTGTCAACAGCTACAGTCTTGTGCTCTGTTTACTTACTGCTGTGTTTCCCTTGTAGAGTCCACCACAGTTGAAACCATTCAACCAAGAGGAATTTATGAAAACACTTGAGAAAACAGGGCCTCAACTTACCTCTAAATTAAAAGGAGATTGGATAGGACTGTACCGGTAACTTTGTTATGTTGAAATATAAATTAAATAGAGCCTTAGCTAAATCAAAATAGTGTATCCTAAAGCAACAACTTTGGGAAAAACCTTGCCTCTAATACTAACTGAATTGTTATCCAAAATGTTGGGATAATTTCAAATAGGAAAAACCATTTAAAATGTAAAGCAGCAACAACAGCAGTAGCAACAGTTTAGCAATTCAGAGTCCTCTAGTGCTAATAGTTCAGCAAATGAGCTTCAGCAATGGCAGAACAGAGTCAAGCTGAACTACATGTCTCTATAAGAAAGTCCGGGCCTAACTGTGTAATTGTCTTTCTATAGAAACATCTTGCATCTCTCTATGCTCACAGGAGAAGAACAAAATGGAGGACTCAGGGGTTTGCCATATACTTTGAACAAAAAGAGGCATGTCCCTGAGAAGTATCAATATAACAAATAGGAGAAATTGGGGGCGGGGGGGGGGATAATAGAGTGACAGGTAGACAAAGAGGGCAATGCGGAACGAACTTTCTCTGCCAGCTGGCTCATCTGCCTAACCCTTTCCTTGATGAGGACTACAAATGTGAGCAGGATGTAGTTGGGTTCCAACATACAAGGGATATCTGGAAAGTAAGGTTACAAGGTTTCTTTTTAAACACAAAAAATGAATATATTCTAATAAAACTTACATGCATAAGTATTACATTATATGTTCCACATAATCACCATTCAATTCAATACATTTTGTCATCCATGCAACAAGTTTTTTGATGCCTGTGTCATAGAACTCTCCCGCCTCCTTTTTCAGCCAGCTCGCCACTTTGATTTTCACCTCGTCGGAAAAGGTTTTCACCAAGGTGTTTCTTCAATTTAGTGAACAGATGATAGTCACTGGGTGCGAGATCGGGGCTGTCAAAGGGGTGGCTTAAAACATCCTAACAAAATGAAGTCAATAACTCTTGTGTTGCATGAGCGGTGTGTGGACACGCATTGTCATGCAGGAGACAGATTCCCGCTGTCGCCATCCCACGACATTTGTTTTGGATGACTCTGCAAAGCTTCTTCGTGGTCTCACAGTATCTTGCAGCATTGATTGTTTCACTTCTTTCCAAAAAAATCAACGAGAAGAACCCCTTTTCTCTCCCAAAACACTGACGCCACGATTTTTCTCACGATGAATCGCAGCTAAGTTCATGCCCTTAGCATTTAGGTAGTGTATTACAGAGTAAACTTCACACTTGGCGGGAAATGAAATGAGGACGCTAATCTCTAACCTTCACCACAACGCCAGTCGATGAGCTACTAACGACTGGCACTGCTCGTTCACTTCTGCTAACTTTCCACTACACGACAGTGTTACCAACTTCCCCCACGAAATTCCCCACGAGAGCTATGTGCCTTGTAACCTTACCTTCTGGATAACCCTCATAAAATAATGTTACAGTTACATCACTTCTAACTCATAGGGATGTATACATTTGTTTAGCTCACATTTTGCATTTATAGAGCATTTCTTGATTAATATATAACATCTGAATTTATAAAAGTATATTAATCGTATGCCAATGTACAACGTGGAAACAGGATTTATAAATGGGCTAGCAAAGAAACTAGAAGCATCAGCTACAGATTTTTGTCCATATTAATCCATTTTGTACTTGGCAGGAGAAGGAATTTAGCTGTGAAAGTAACAAACACAAAATATTTTGTCAATAATAGTTGGTTGTAAAATAACAAGCCATTGTTATGGAAAAGAATTGGTATGTCATGCAGATTGTTATTTTTGTGGAGAGTTTTTCAGGCTGTCCAACATGCAACAGTATTGCTTAGGTTTAATTTTTAAGTTCCTTTGTTTTATAAGGAAGAAAATTACCACAGGTTAGATTTCAGAACTAAATCTAATAACATTATTTTCCCCTTTTATCATATAGGCATTTTTTGAAATCTTCCAACTTTGATGGATGGTTCAGAACACGGCGGAAAGAAATGACGCAGAAACTGGAGGCGCTGCATTTAGAAGCATTGTGCAACGAGGTTAGAAAAGTGGCTTTGCCATACGCCATTTCTTTTTTGTGCACCCTGGACTTAAAAAAATAAAATAAAACATACTATATTTTTGAAGTGCAATTTAATTTGAGATATCTAAACTCCTTGTTGTCTTAACTGGTCTTCTGCAAACCACTACATTTTACCGAAGTAGTTTATTTACATGTGCTTATTTAACATGAACCACCCTGAGATACATTACTCTGAGAAATATTAAATAAATAAGCACAGGTAAATAAACTAATGGCTGCTTTAATAAAATGAGGTGGTTTGCAGAAGACCACTTAAGACAATAAGCAGTTTAGATATCTCAATGAAGATGTAACTCTGAAATATTTTTGTGTTTTTCCTTAAGTGAAATATGTATCTAAATGTTTCCTAAAAGTAACTAATTTTGCCTTTTGATACATAGGACCTGCTTTTCTGGAGTCAGAAGCACACTGAGGTGGAAACAGTGGACCTAGTCTTAAAATTAAAGGATAAATTGGTAGGTGGTTTCGTATATCTATATCAGAATTTAAAGTGTTTGTATGTTTCTCTGTTCTAAGGTCATGCAAGTTCGCATGCTTGATCAGAATTACCAAATTTGATGTGTTCCCTGATAGTGCCCAAACTAAGATTGTAGTGAGAATTTGGGTTTGATTCCTCAACTGTTTTGCTTATCTTCTGAACAAACGCTTTTAAATTCTGTACTTTTTGCTCTAGAATACATGCTTATTGGCCAGTTTTGGCATTCCAAAACACTTGGCGCTTGTTGTCTTAACTGGTCTTCTGCAAACCACTGCAGAAGACCAGCTTCCCCACTATTTGGGGAAAAAGAACTAGCATGGTTCCCCCCCCCCAATAGCTTCACTAGTTCCAGAATTTTTAAATCTCTAATCTAGATCTTCTTATTGATCTTATTTGGTCTTCTCTTAGATGAGAAGCAGAAATATTTTGGTATTAGGATGGGTCCATAAATGCTTTCCCTCTTGACTGTCCAGATGATGAAAGGAAAAACTCCTGTGACTAGAATGAAGAAGGGAAGTACAGAAGAGATAGGGCTAGTATTTATGCAGATAATCCCCAGTATTCCTACAACTATTAGGAGTAGGTAGTTGCCCTGAGATTTTTGCCTATATTTTCCATCTAAATTATGAGTACAAGTGACCTTATCCATATCATGAACTGTTCATACCTTGTCTGTCTTGACATTAGTGTTCCCTTGAACTCTGATATCCTACATTACATTGTGTTGCCATTCCTCTAGCTTCCGATTTTCTTCTGGTTATAAGGGAGATTTCAGAAAAGTTTTCCTGAATATTGTGCTTCCTTCTTTATAGCTAATCCCACAACATTTACTGGATAAATATCCTTTGGGGAAATACTGTTATTGAGGTTTTCCGTGTTTAATTTAAAACTGTGGTCACTTTTATTGAGGAAATGTTGAATAGGGAATCCGCTTTGGTTTAGCAACTATAATCACAAAATAGTAAACTGCATTACACAAAATGAGACTTTTGGGGCCACATAACTCAGTATGGTCTGCAATGACTGAAAATGGCTCTTCAGTGTCTGAGACATAGATCTTTCCTATTGCTGTCAGGAAATGTAAGGAATTTTTGCTTGGGGCCTTTTGCATGCAAACTATATACTTTGCCATTTTACGGTGTCCCTTTCCCAAACAACAGGTTTCAATAAAAATACTATTTGTGTACATAGTTGGGAAGTTATTTCCTTTTGATATCTGTGTCTACAGGTGACTTCAGCATTTCCATAAATTCTTATGTGTTTTTTCTGTGATTATAGGCTGATGGAAAGAACTTGCCGGTGAATCCTGGCACTATGGAGAAGTTACATAAGCACATTGATTCGATTATACTTGCTCAGCCAGAAGATTTGCAGGGCATCTTGACCAAAACGGGCTCAACGTGACTCGGTGGATTTTTGTGCAGCAGGATGCATTGCATCAAACCTCTCAAAAGCATAAAGGGGAGAATCAGTGGATGTAAAAAGTATCCTGTGATGGAAAAAGATCATGTTAGTGATTATTTTAAAGCAGCCTTTAAACTCATCTTAATATTTTGTTTATATGTTTGTATTTAAAACTTAAGTGCTCTTATTGTAAAATCTGCATTTATCTTGAACTTTTACATGCAGGTCTGTAACACAGTGCAAATATTGCAGAGTAGTGCTCTGCCCAATTCTGTTAAACTCAGGGGAAGCAAAACTCCTATTAATTTTAAAGTCTATCCCACTGAAGACATTTGCTAATAGCTTCCCAGTGAGACCTTTTATTTTATATTATCTCCTGTGAAGATCTCAAAAGCCAGTCTACTAATGTAGTAGCTTCGTTTTGATATTATAGAACTCATTGCCAAACCACTTTAGCTGTTGGAGGCACAGCTTATGGGGCCTTCCGTATTCCTCCTCCTCTTTCTCATGCTTTCTTAGATCGGAGTACTAGCCATAGCCAGGTATGATATGCCAATTGGAAAAATAATTGCTGCTAACCATTGACTGAAACCAGAACTTGGAAGCTAGTCTGATGTCTTATCTTAGTCGAGAGCGGTTGGGACTTGGGTTCATGGACACAAAAAGAGAGGGTGGAGGTATGCAGTGTGTTAAGATGCCCTTGAACACATCTGCTTGACGATGCCTGAGTGAAGTGGGGGCTTTAAATGTCCAGTGAACAATAGCACCAATCCCTATTTGGCTACATTTTTTTCTAGAACAGAAATAGTTTAGCTAAATTACCAAGTAATTAATATACTTGTTACTGTCTTTTTTTCAAAGCACCTGTGTTTCCCCCTAGTTGTGGGGAGAGAAATTTCTTTGGAATGAGGTGAGGGAAGAGATGTTATTTCTTCTCCCGCTCCAATATTTCGGCAGTTTTTAAAAGTTTAAAATCAAATCAAATTAATATTTCTCATTTAAAAAAATACACTCATCTTATCATGGTAATCTAAATTTTAAAATGCAGTACTGAAATTCAAATGTTAGACATTGATTGACTCAAATTTTCTGTATAATTAGCCAACTTCCTTGTAGAATTCCTACATACAGCTGTCTCTTACTCTCCTCTCATGCTTCCTCATGCTTCTCTGAGAAGTCTTAGGTTCCTTATACTTGTGTAATTGAAGTAGCAGGATATTCTTTCCCTGTTTACTATGCCCCCATCCCCCCTCTTGCTTTATTTTCCTGTGTCTGTTATAGATTACAAGCCCTTTAGAACAACATTACTCAAAGTGCTAGACACTGAACCCCAGGCTGCTGGTCCCTAGCAAGTTGCCAAAAACAAAAACAAAAAAAAAACCCTCTTGTAGACATTTGGTATGGTGCCAGGGCCTGTCATGGTGGGGAGAAAAATCTGCCCCCTGTGTTAAAATAAGGGTCTGTCATATTATTTTATGTAGCTATCCATGTGCACTGATGACGCTGTGTGCACCTGCTAATCGTAATTGCAAAAAAGAAGATAACATGATTGCAGTGGCAGAATAGACTACTGCACTGAAACATGTGTCTGGCATAAGGGAGGGGCAGCTTGGGCCATCTTATAAGAGCATGTTAAATATCAAAGTTTCCTTCACTGTTTTGTGGATTTGCAGCTGATCCCAAAGAGCAGACCCTGTGCAGAAACATTTTTTTTAATATAACCTGTCCCTGCTGGTTGGGATGAATAATTTATTCCAAAGTAAATCTGTCCCATGTTACAGGAACACTACTATAACATTTTTGCCCAGCCAAATTTTATAAAGCTTTGGAAGTAGTGCTATACTATTATGTCATATTTTATGTTTCCTACCTTTACTAAAAGTATAGTCCAAGAAGGAGGATCACAACTTAGGCAGCAGGTACACAGGTACTTCTTTGTGAAGTAAATGAGGCATTGAAGTAAAAGGCTGCTCAATCTAGCAGGTTTTGTTCGTCTTCCCTGCCACTTCTGTGTGCCCCAGGGAACGTGCAACCATTAATTACCACAGGGCACCAAAAAGATTGCAGCCAATGTATCTATTATAAATGTGCATAATGAGCCATTTCGCATTGGCAATAAATTGTTGCTACATGCTGCAACAAACATAAGAATTTTATAACTCTGTAGGAAATAGAACTTGGAAGAATCATTTCAAGGATGCTATACCAGTTTTACTCAGTACCAACACTGTGTACATCACTGTTAAGAACAAAAACAGGCCCTGTTAAGGCAAAAACAGGGCCAGGAAATAACAGTGTTCTATATCAGCTAATGTTTTATTGATTTGGATGAGGGACATATATTGCAGGCCTGTTGTGGAAAAAAATGCCTTTGTTTAGTATTTTGTATCATCATTTGGAGTCCTTAATTTTTAGCTATAAACTGCCATTTGTATTTTTAAGAATATGTATTTTTAATATTCACTTACATGAATTCCAGATAAGAAGCTGAACTTAAATGGTGTAAAAGCTGACCTCTGCAATAGTGCGGTTATTGCATTAATATGTAACAGTTTTGCACAGCTGATAAGTAGCATTTTTAAAATATGGTCACTAAATCTTCATTAACTGGAGCATTATATTGTAAGTTTGAACCAGCTACATTAGCTTATTTTCAAGATGTATTTTTTTAAAAGAAATAAATTCACTTTTACAGACATGTTTACATATTTATTCAGTAAAACTCATGAAATAGGATCCATAGTGTGGAATTCTTAAAATGGAATTTGTGTTTCTTGACAAACCAATTGACCTTTTTCAAGTCTGCGATGAACAAGATGAAGTTTTGCTTTGTTTAGAACATGCATTAACATGTCAGTTCTTGAACCAAATCTGCCTCCTTACTAACATTGATGCTGCTTATGCCTTTGCATCAAGCTGAATCACATCCATCTAATATCTGCAGAGAAGGCCACTTCTTTTAACAATTTTTGTCAATGCCTTGATGCGGTTTAATGTTGTCTTTAGGTACCTCTTAGATCAGATTCCTGGCCCATATATAAGTTGTTGTGAGAAAAAAAAATGAAATAGCCAAGGCAGTGCTGATTGCCATAGAGGCCGCTTCAAATGACTTCTGAATGTTGTATCTGCGCCTCTCTCCTTTGGATTTTTAAGTACCTTGCCATCTCTAAAATAAACAGCAGATGAGACCAGGGCAGAAACTGGGGCAGCAATATGTGGGAACTGTAGTTTATCCATTACAAACAAGCACATTTTAATACTTCTTAATCAATACAGAATTTGGCCTTGCAACCACCAGCATGGCTTATTCTGCCCTGATGGCCTTAAAAAAAAAGCAGTAAGAAATAGGATGCGGGTTAGGAAAAGGGTCCTCTTTTCCCTGAGGCAGATCAGGCTCTTTGAGATTTGCAATGTTAGAAGTACCAGGGAACGCTAATATTTTAATTGTCTTGTGGATAAACATCTGACTGAAAAGGCCTCTCAGATGAAAGGTGGTGAAGGGAAAACTCAGATAAATGATGGTGAAGGGGAAACTGCACGCTCTCAGAGGTTCCCTTCTGCTCTCAAGGGGGCAGCGCTGGGATGGACAACACGGACGAGTTGGGTCATGATTTTGTCAATGTTTATTGTTTCCAAATGCCGGCTGAGATCTTTTGGCACGGCACCCAGTGCGCCGATGACCACTGGGGCCACCTATACTGGTTTATGCCAGAGCCTTTGCAATTCGATTTTGAAGTCTTGATAGCGGCTGAGTTTTTCCTGTTGTTTTTCCCCAATGCGACTGTCACCCGGTATGGCAACATCAATAATCCAGACTTTTTTCATTTCCACAATCGTGATGTCTGGTGTATTGTGTTCCAAAACGTCGTCAGCCTGGATTCGAAAGTCCCACAGTATTTTTGCATGTTCATTTTCCACTACCTTCGCAGGTTTATGATCCCACCAGTTCTTTACTGCTGGCAGGTGGTACTTGTGACATAAGTTCCAGTGAATCATGTGAGCCACAGAGTTGTGCCTCTGTTTGTAGTCCGTCTGTGCAATTTTCTTGCAACAGCTGAGGAGATGATCCATGATTTCATCAGCTTATTATTTATTTATTTCCAGACCCTAAATGGGAGAATTATTTGAAAGCTTAGTAAGTACCAATTCCCCAGATATGAGGATATATACAGGTGGTGTGAGCCTCTGCCAAACGAGAGAAAAAAGGGGGGGAAACTAATGGAAAACACAGATTTCAGCTGAAAGATTTGGTAGAGGCTCCTTATTTGGAGGTTTTTAAACAGAGGCTGGATGGCCATCTGTGGAGGGTGGTTTGAATGCAATTCCTGCTTCTTGGCAAGGGGTTGGACTGGATGGCCCACGAGCTCTCTTCCAACTCTTTGATTCTATGGAGCCTATATTACTATAACTTTTGGACTACAATTTCAAAGTGCACAGCGACGTGTCCGACGTGATGATGGCAATATAAAACGAGAGGAAACTAGCAAGAGGGAAACAATCCCGTCTGCTTGAACCCATTGCCCCGGGATCCTTTTCTGAGGCGGACCAGCCGCATTAAGGAGAGCTCCCCCTGCTGCCTGAAGTGGTACAGTCCACGTACAAAGGGAGTGTGCTCGCGTCGGGCCTCCTTTGTGCCTGGGCTGTACCACTTCGGGCCGCAGGGGGAGCTCTCCTTAATGCGGCTGGTTCACCTCTCTCTGCTTCCGGCTGAAGTCCCTTCAGGTTAGCGTCACCTCACGGGAAGCCTTTACGCCTCCCAGAATGCACTGCGGCAAGAAGACGCGGAAGTTCCACGACAGAGGGAGGCAAAGGTGGTGATTGAACTTCCCCCCAGGCTGAGCCCCGCCCCTCCAGAATGGCCTCGACTCCCTTCCGGACTGCATTTCCCGTCCTGCTTTGCGCCTGAAACCCATACGCTCTGAAGCATTCCGGCGCATAGCCCGCTGGGAGTTGTAGTCTTCCTGGTTACCTACCGAGAGGCCTCTTCTGGAGTACCCCCCCCCCCCCCCCCCCCCCCCCCCACGAGGATGTGGAGACCGCGACGCGATTTGGTCCGCGTTGGAACCGAGGCAGGCGTGACGTGGCGAGCCGAGCGAACAAAAATGAGCGAGTGGGCTCGCCGGGCACAGACCTGGAGCTTCCCTCCGTGAAGGCAGAGGAGGAGAGCACGACGACGACGTGGGAGGGAGAAGAAGGAGAAAAAGGGAGGAACGCGCGCCTGTCGCCTCCGCCGCCCTCGCCTTCTGCGCCGCCACCGTCATGGGCCTCAGCATCTCCTCGCTCTTCTCGCGCCTCTTCGGCAAGAAGCAGATGCGCATCCTCATGGGTGAGGGCCTCACGCCACTGCAGTCATTTGACGCGGCTGAGGGGGAAAGGAAAGGGCCTGGGGCTGCCAGGGAGTGTGGGAGTGGAAGGCCAGAACACCTGGAGGGAGGAGGGCCCAAGTTGGCCCAGGCCTGGTGTAGGCATCCTCAAAACGAGGGTTGATTCCACGACAGGGAAACGGGGGGAAATGCTTTCCCTCCTTCAAACCCCCCTTCCCCGTCAAATGGACTATCCTCCTCTCTCTAGCCCCACCTTGTTGCTTCTGCTCGAATAATGAAACAGGACCGAACCCATTGTGTGTTGGGACAAAGGAAGGGAAAGACAGGAAAGACTGGTCTCTAGCCTATGACATTTTCAGAAAGAGACTTGAAGGTATTTAGGATTATGTGATTGATGTCCAGGCCACACAGCATTGTGTTGCTATTCCAATAATAATAATAATAATAATCATCATCATCATCAACAAGGTGGAGGTTCTCACCTACAAAGCCCTGAACGGTTTGGGACCCACCTACCTGCGTGACCGCATCTCTGTATATGAACCCATTCATCTGGAGAGGCCCTGCTCACACTCCCACCTCCATCGCAGGCACAATTGGTGGGGATGAGAGAGAGGGCCTTTTCGGTGGTGGCCAAGTATTCCAAGTAGACTGGAACGTCCTTAGTCCTAACCTTCTTTTATACTGGTTTTAAACCACTTCATTGGATGTGTTGCAATAGCAGATTCCCAGATTAGTGTTTACACCTTATTTTATTTTTCTGGTTATTTCATATTTAATGTTTATTTTACTTAAGTGATATTTGTCTTGACTGTTCTAATGTAGCACAAATCCTATGTAAAATCATACTACTCACTTCCTAAGGACATCAGGCAGGCCCCAACTCTGGCAGTCTTTAGGAGGAGCTTGAAGACGTGGCTGTTCCCAGAATAATGATTCCATAATACCTTGTCCTCCAAAGCACTTTACATTTTTAGGTCTGCACCCCATTACTTTTTCGCCCCATTACTTTTTCGCCCTTGTTCCAGCATTACTTTCAATTTTAATTTTACATTTGGCCTTCCCATAGTTTTTAATCATGTGGTCTTACTGTTAATGTTGCATTATTGTATTGTCCGTGTTTTATTTTTAATTGCTTGTATTGTTGTTATTACTGTTTGCATTGTTGTATTTGGGCTCGGCCTCATGTAAGCCGTACCGAGTCCCTTGGGGAGATGGTAGCGGGGTACAAATAAAGTGTTATTATTTTTTATATTATTATTCCCTTAGAAGCCTGGTCCCGTTCCCCCCCCCCTCCCCCAGCAGTGTTCTTTCTATAGCACAGCGTTTAGGACATACATTGTCCATCATTATCCCATGTCTTACCTATATCCTGTGTTTTATGCTTGGTTTCATTTCTTCATTACCTATACCTGAGCCATGCTTCAGAAATCTATCTATTTACCCTATATATATACCACCTTTTTCTACTCCGAAGGGGACTCAAGGCAGCTTTACATATAGGCAACTATTCAATGACTTTGAAAAACATACAATAAAAAACATTTAAGTTAAAAATTAAAATTAAAGCACATTAAAACATATTAAAATGCATTCACTATTAAAATCAAGCTATCCATAATTGTAATCTGGGGCCATGCCAAAAATCATTGCGCATACTCTGTAGCTATTATTGCACTATAGATTAATCTCCAAAGGCTTGATCGCAAAGCCAGGTTTTTACTTTCCTTCTGAAGGCCAGGAGGGAGGGACCTGCCCTAATATCATTGGGGAGTTCCACAGACGAGAGGCCACCATTGAGAAGGCCCTGTCTCTGGTCTCCACCAGTAGCACCTGCGAAGGAGGCGAGACCGAGAGCAGGGCCTCCCCAGACAATCTTAATCTCCTATGTGGTTCATAGGAGGAGATATGTTCGGACAAGAAGGCTGGGAAGTTCAATGTTTTTCAAGATAGAAGGTCTGTTTTTAAGTATGTTCAGGGGTGGGAAATAAACTTTGCTCAGCTGCACCACAAGCCATTTTAATATTTTTTGGAAAATGTTTTCTAAAGCCCAAGTTTTATATTTATCAAACTAATGCAATTTATGTTTCTAGTTGGTTTGGATGCTGCTGGAAAAACCACACTTCTGTTCAAGCTGAAGCTAGGAGAGATTGTCACTACACTTCCTACAATTGGTAAGAAAATAAGGACACTTTATCTTGCCAGTGTTCTAGAAATAGCAACTTTTTTCATTTTTAACTTTTGTTCGTGAACAGACTAGAATAAACAGAAGTTTGCCATTAAATATATCAGAACAAAATCCATAGGATTTCTTTCCATATCCAATAAAATCAGTATGTCTTGAAGGCAACATAAATTTTAATGATGTTTTCTGTTTTGTTGTTTCAAGACCACATTTTCCTCCATTTATAGTGAAGATCTAGTAAAAGAATCTTGCACTTTATTTGTGCAGCCATGATATTGCTTTTAATTGTTTTTATAATGTCTGATTTTATGTTTATTGATGTTTAAAATTGTTTGTTTTTCGATGCTTATTTTAACCTGTTTTGTTGGTCATGTCCCTTTTTAAGCCACCCTGATTCCCTTCGGGGAGATATTTATTTATTTATTTACTATATTTGTATACCGCCCTCTCAGCCCGGAGGCGAATCGAGGCGGTTTACAGTTGGCACTCAATGCCCCACAAAATAAAATACAGTCAAAACATTACATATAATATAATCCATATAAAAACAATAAAACAGTTAAAATCATAAAGTACAAGTCCTCAGTGTCTCATCATTAAAATCATTTTCCGTCGCACCGTCCAAAAGTTCCATGATTCTCAATCAGATAGAGGTAGGTTATAAAAATAAAATTATTATTATTATATTACTATCTTGCAGAAAGCAGAAGTGGTCTACAAACAAAAATCAAAGGTATCCTTATACAAACAAAACTTGTTTTTAAGCAGTATTATATCTACCTGGGCTTTTTAGAACTCTAAACATGACTAAGTGAACAAATCAAGCAGTAGCAGGAATTCTTGAGGGCTAGCTTCTATATATTTTATCCATATGATGCTCTCTAGAAAATTAATGCCCTCGCCAGTTATCGCGCATCTAGACACTCATGATTGTATTTATAAAAGTTGACCTTATGCTACAACTTTGGATGTTCAGTGGTCTGTATTCTCATAAGAACTGCTTTTTGCCTTTTCTATAGGTTTCAATGTGGAAACAGTGGAGTATAAAAACATCTGCTTCACTGTTTGGGATGTTGGTGGTCAAGATAAGATTAGAAGACTCTGGTGGCATTATTATCAGAATACACAGGCAAGTTCTCCGACATCTGCTAAACAAAAACTGTTATAACTCTGTCTTTAATGGACTCATGAAAAGCTGTACCAGAATCTCCACTGTTACCATGAATTGACCTTTCAGATATCATTTATTTATTTAAGGCATTTCTGTCTTACATATGTTACTACTCTGCCTGAGAGACCCAAGGTGACACAGCATAGATAAAAACAATTAAAATAATACATAGAAACAAATTTAGTAGAGAACCAGATAAGACCGTTCTCTCTAGTCTTAGTAGGGACAAATATATGAAATGAGGTATTCCATTAGGTACAGAGGATTCGAAACATTGATTGGAGCTAGAAGGAAACTACTACTGATGTGCTAAAATTAATGACAGATATTGTATTCAACCTTCCTCTCTAAATGCACTGAAAAGTTCCGCATTAGCTCTATTTCCAGACCATCCTTAAGGGTAGCATTTTACAGAAAGCAAACACAAATTTTTGCAAAACTTGGGTGGTATCAGAAAATAAAATTGTTAGAGGAGAGGGACAGCAAGCAGTTCACCAACCAAAGCGGGTAAAAGGCATTTCTAACTCCCTGTGGGCCTAGCAACAAAGAGCAGGAATATACACGAATGTTATTTATGGTTTAACATTTTTCCATTCAAATGTTCCTTAGTTTTGGGAATCTACAAATCATTATTTCTGTTAAACCATTTACATTTGTGCAGTTCAAAATTAACATGAGATCAGACTTAGCTACACTTTTTCCAGCCTATAGTATTCTATTTGGGATGGAATGACCAGAATAACAGTTCCAGGTATAGTCACTTAGTAGTTTTATTTTCAGTTGCTTAAAGGAAATTCGCAGCAATCATATACTGAATCTATATCCTAAGGTCTTCATCTGTATCCTAGTATTACAGATTCTTTTTCATTAAGCTTCTCTAATAAATTTCTTTCAGGGCCTTATTTTTGTGGTAGATAGCAATGACAGAGACCGAATTGAGGAAGCTGCAAAAGAACTGCAGAAAATGGTAAATCTTTTTAACATGAATTCGAAGATTGGTGGGTTGCTGAGTTCTCCCTCGCTAGTAAAGGAGAGAGAATTTTCAAAAACACCATAGGAAAACCAAAGTTCAAGATATCCAGTAGCACTGTTCTGTGCCCTGAAACTGCAAGATGACGCTTCCTTTGCAGTTTATTTATTTATTTATTTATTTGCAGCATTTTTACCCCGCCCTTCTCAACCCCCGGGGGGGGGGGGGGGGTGACGGGACTCAAGAGTGGCTAACAAAGGTAGCAATTTGATGCCACAATCAATGATAAAACAATAAATACACACAGAGTTAAAACAGTAGCAATTAATTATAACCAAATTATCATAAGTCATTTAAAATAATACTCAGTCCACAAACTCACTGATAGAACAATAAAACCATATCCTCGTACATATCGTCTTGGCAATCCATTTCCAGTCAAATTGCTGCTTTGTTTATTGTCTGAAAACCTGGTACCAAAACCAAGATTTTAATTTCTTCCTGAACGCCAGGAGGGATGGGGTCGATCATATTTCATTTATAGTTTCAGTTATAGGAGCTGTTAATAGAAGGACTTAACTACAATGGTTTCTCCTTTCAGCTTGAAGAGAATGAATTGAGAGATGCAGTGCTGCTTGTCTTTGCAAATAAACAAGACTTGCCAAATGCCATGGCAGTCAATGAAATGACAGATAAACTTGGCCTTCGGACTGTGCGTAACAGAAGTGTAAGTACAGAAGTTTTCCATTAACAACATACTGGTATCTATTGTTCTTATTCTGATGCATCTATTGCATGGGTAGTGAGTTTGTGGTCTTTCATGTGTTGTTGAACTGCCAGCTGTCTTCAGCCATAGTATGCCTAACTAATAGTTTGGATAGAAGTGCAGTCCATGAGCATGGGGAATTCTGCATGTTCCTTATCCACAACTGAATTAGTTTTCCTTATTCCTGATTTAATTAGTTTGACCTTATGAACAACAAATGGAATAATGCTTTCCTATTTGTCCTGAAAAGCAGCTTGTGAAGACGGGAGCACTCTTTGTAATGGTATCTTATCGGGAAGAAAGTCCAATTAGAAGCATCTGTCTACTCATACTGCATTATTGGATCAAAGCTATTTTCCACAGTGTAGCCCTGTTTCCCTTGAGCCCACCTTTTTCTTGATTGTGGAGACAATTATTATTTATTTTAGGAGGAAACCCTGTTTGCCCATCCTGTTATTTTGAGTTGTGTCTATAATGGGTGGTCTGGAAATAGCTCATACATCATACATGGCATTTTCAACTGGTGACAGTGTTTTAAAAGATGGGATTGTTGTGAAATGTAATAATCCTCTTCCTCCTTCCCAACAGTGGTATGTTCAAGCTACCTGTGCCACACAAGGAACTGGTCTGTATGAGGGACTTGACTGGCTGTCAAATGAGCTATCGAAGCGCTAGCTGAAACTGGAAGATTTTCGCACCAGGGAACTGCTTAATATAAGTGGTCTAGGCTTGTTGCATCAAAAGAAGTTTGCATCTTGGTTACTATACAGTATCTGGAACTGGTTTGGGCAGGTTATTACAGTATTTTGACTTATTTTGTTGCCAATTATTGTTCACCAAGCTACATGTTGCCAAGGTAAAAATAAGCTTGGTTTTGAAATTTATTAGTGAATGTATCTTCATGAAGACAGACTTTGTAAATTCTTAAGACTGAATGCTTTAATGTTATTGCTAATTTGTGTATACCTCTTGAATTTTAAGTTTGTGGAACTCATAATATGAATGTGTGACATTCTTTTTCAATAGTTTTTTTGTACCTTGGAATAAACAGATCTCTATAATCTTTGAATTGTTTTCAATTTAGCAAAAAAATCAAGATGGGCAATTTTGGTCTCGAGACTTTTCTGTTGCTGCCTGCGCGAGCGCAGGAATATACCATAGGTGCAAATCACAGCTGACCACGAGGGGAAACTGACATTAATTGGTGATCTCACACCAAGTACTAACCGTGGCCTGACCCTACTAAGTTTCCAAGATTTGGTGCCTTGATTACAGGCAAGAAATTTGGGCAATGTAGTCAGACAGACCAGTGAGCATGGTTACCTGATTTTTGCAGAAGCTTAAGAATTTGTCATCTTAAAACAAATGTGAGCATGGTAGACTGCATGAAACACCTATCCTGTACTTGTGATTGCAGTCATGATTTTCTTTCAACTTAAAAATAATGATGCTGCAGGAAGTATGGACTAATCTGAAGTCGTATTGTGCTGATCCCTGGAATGTTTTGTTTTTGCTTGGTTCTTTAAAAAAATTAAATGGGCTTCCAGACATCATTAGACTCCTAGAAATGGCAGCATGGCCTACAGTCAGGCAAAATCAACCCTCAGAGCCTTTAAAGTTACTCGTTGTTTTTAATCTGAGAACTAAATAAAAACCTGTCATGGGCAAATATATTTTAAAAAAAACATTTTACACTGCGGTATACTACCAAAGCTAGTCTTGATTACTTGCAAACATTTGGAGATCAATGTTCTTTATTTAGAAAGAAATACTGCTCAAACATAGTCATGATTTTTTATTTAAGCACAATGAATTTGGTTTATACAGACGAGGTTCCCCACTTCCACTACCCCCACAGGTCACCTGAAGGCAATTTATTTTTGGAATGCTAAATTAATATGGTTAGTTTCATGTGGGAAGCATACATGTTGGCTGCTTGTCAAGAAACATCTTCTTCCCAGAAGGCAATATCAAGACACTGACAGGATACACTTTCTTCCAAAACCATTCCAGTTATTCCATTTTTGAAAAATAAATTTAGCTTAAGCAAAACACTTCTTATCACCATTTTAAAACCACCTGAAAAGGCAACAGTATAATGCAAATTCAAAAGAATGTTCATTGTTGACAACTTTTCCTATCAAAATAGAAAAATGAAGCACTGGCTGAGAGCATTCCAGAGATGAGAAGTTACAAGGAACTGAGAATTTGGCATAAAGTTACTGATGGACATGTAAACACTTTTTAATCCTTATTCTTTGTAAAAAATTATGACCAAGTTGCCCCAAAATAGTCAAAACGCCTTGCATAAAGGCAAAGTATCCCCCCTCCACTTTTAAAGTCTACTTCCACTTTAAATCACATACTAGTGCTATGTGATCTGAGGGATGTGAAACACTTGGTAAGGCCTGATGAGTGGTTACTTCTTCATGACTTGGCAGTGGAATTACTTGTTCAACTTCCAAAGCATCTGCATCAATGAAGATGTAGTCCAAACATCCATGAAAGCCTCCAACATAATTAGTATAGGCTGGTTCTCCACAGGCACTTTTAAGTCTGAACGGATGAGTCAGAGACATGCTGCAATATGGTTCTTCTCCGTCTGATCGCCAGTCCTCATGGTCTTCAGCAATACTGCCATTAATGACAAAACCGTAGGTTCCAGTTGATGGTGTGCTATTAAAATCGCCACAGAATAAAAGAGGTGTGCCAGGGTACAAGTCATGTGTTACGTGCCTAAGATGTGATAATGCTATTGCAATTTGAATCAGACGGATGTTTCCACCTAGGAATACAAGACAAAAAAAGGAAAAAGGATCTGCTTTTGCCATCATGTTCCATCAAAAAGGTGAAAATTAGAAAAACTTAATATACTGGTTATTAAATATGTTCAGCTATACCTCAATTTTTTCCTTACCATCTTTACATGCAACAGGCAACTCCAATTAACCAACCAGTCATTTTGTTCATTGTCTATTTGCTCTATCCTGTCTCTCAACAGGAATTTAACCCAACCTCTTCTCCCATACATGGTCACAATGTTTCTTTTCTCTGATGGAGTACAAGTTCAGGCGTGAACTTAGGAAAATCCTTTCCCCCACACAGCACTATTCAGTTCTTCATTCAGAAATGGTGCGCCTTGAGACATTACTTCTTGTGGCAGAAGTCAACACAATTACCCATGTCAAAATGGATAACTAGGCTCGTACCCAGCCCCCGTACCCCAAAACAAGACCATCACAAAGATTAGCAAAGAAATTACCTTTTGGGTGCCAGTATAGGTGAGTGTTGGCAACACAGATTTGTCTTGAAGGGTCATTTATAGTCTGAAGAACAGAAACCTGGAAGAAATGCTCTTATGAATTCTTATATAATACAAAAATACCTCTAAGAACATTTGCAACATTTAAAAGGACATTTATTATTATCACATTAATCTGTGATAACTAGTACTGCAAAATCCGATCGGTTGCACTGCATTTTACCTTTCTCAGTGATCTCCACTGCTGAAATTGTTACTTTCCCCCTCATCAATGTTAAGGTAAAGGTAAAGGTTTCCCCTGACATTAAGTCTTGTTGTGTCCGACTCTGGGGGGTGGTGCTCATTTCCATTTCTAAGCTGAAGAGCTGGCATTGTCCGTAGACACTTCCAAGGTCATGTGGACAGCATGACTGCATGGAGTGCCGTTACCTTCCTGCAGAAGTGGTACCTATTGATCTACTCACATTTGCATGTTTTCAAACTGCTAGGTTGGCAGAAGCTGGGGCTAACAGCTGGAGCTCACCCCACTCCCTAGATTTGAACCGCCAACCTTTAGGTCAGCAAGTTCAGCAGCTCAGCGGTTAAACCTGCTGAGCCACCAGGGGGCTTCCACAAACGTTGAAGCACTGATCTTTTCAAAATTGGCTTCAGGTTTGTTGATATTATCTCTAACTCAACAAAACAATCCTTTGAGTGATATTTGACAGACAGCAGTCAACAGGGAGTTAAGAACATTACATGAGCCTGGAAAGCTATAGTATGCAATTAACAACCCAGTTTGTCTTTTTGTATGTTCACTTCTAACTAGCTGTAGAGTGCTCCGTAAAGGAAGGCAGTGCTGATTTTTTTCTGTGAAAGTTAACAGACACCCTGCCTCTCTCAGCATCCAAACATATATCCCACTGTAACTCTTACAACCCCACTCATCAACATTCACATTCATGATCATTCCCTTAAAGTATGAGGGTGCAACATACCTCATGAAAACCCTTCCTTTATATCTTTTTTAAAAATACAGTACTTATTGCTTATTTCACAAATTCTTACTATGTTTATGTGCCACATCTACAGACTAGAGACACGAATGTGTCCTGACAGAGTTTGGAAAGCTCTGCCTTAAAGGAACTGGTCCAGGCAATCTTAGGGCACATCTACACTTCCTACTTAGACCAGTTTACATAGGAAATTCTAGAACTAGTTTGAGGCCTGGATGGTGAACCATCCATCTCTATCTCCACCCCACCCCCAAATGAGCAAGCTCAAATCAGTGTCCATACAGTAACTTGCATTCTGACCAACTCATTTTGCCCTGTGGTGTGGTTTACATTGGCTTACACGGATGTGCACTAAGGACTTTTTTTCACTTTTCACCTGACTTTGCTTATATTGGGCTAAAGCCCTTAAAGCTCTCTGCCAGCATAGATAAGGCCATAGAAAAGGATCACAGAGCAGGAAAAGACCTCAAGGGCCATCCAGTCCAACCCTTTTGTCACGATATCCTTCTGGCCAATTACACTATGTAACAAAATTCGGGGGGAAAAAAACAGTTTCCGACTGCTTTGACTAGAATGACAGCAAGGTTGATTTGCACTGACCTTAGCGAAATATACACTTTAATTGATGAGTCTCTACAATAATTGTAATTAGTTTAAAATGTTTTTAATGCTTGATATTTATTTATATCTTACTTGACATTATGCTTTGTATGATTTTTTGTCTTGTATTTTATGTTAAACATGCTTTGATTTGCATTGTATTATATTGTGAGCTGCTTTGGGTCCCGGTGAGGGAGAAAAGCGGGATATAAATAAATATTTTTATTATTATTAATTACTTTAAAAGTAGTTATACTTAAGACTTTGCTTTTCTGGCTGAGGGAAGTACTATTATTTCTTTCAGTCTACTCGAAGCAGTTTTGTTTGTAATTTTCTTAATGAAAATATGCCATTTTTAACCCATCAATGTGCGGACTGTAATAAAAGTTTTCCCATTTTTTAAATGATAGAACTAATTAGGAAATGACATTTATAACCCAGGAACAAAAACCATGCTACATAGTGTTGTGAGTATTATATTTGTTATCTAAGGCTTTTATGGCCGGAATCACTGTGTTGCTATGAGTTTTCCATGATGTATGGTCATGTTCCAGAAGCATTTCCTCCTGACATTTCACCCACATCTATGGCAGGCATCCTCAGAGGTTGTGAGGTCTGTAGATAGGAGAGGAAAACTGTTCTTGCCATACATCAAGGGAACCACTGACCGCATAGGGAAGCTGATGAAGAAACACAACCTACAAACTATCTACAGACCCGCTAAGAAAATCCAACAAGCAAAGGACAAAAGGGATCCTCTCACCTCTGCAGGAGTCTACCGTGTACCATGCAGCTGTGGACAAGTTTATAGAGGGACCATCAAACACAAAATTGCCCAAACACAAATCAAGGAACGTGAAAGGCACTGCAGACTACTTCAACCAGAGAAGTCAGCCACAGCAGAGGCACTTGATGACCCAACCTGGACACAGCATATTATCTGAGAACACAGAAATGCTGGACCACTCTAACAACCACCATGTCAGGCTACATGGAGAAGTCATTGAAATCCACAAGCACATGGACAATTTCAACAGAAAGGAGGAAACCATGAAAATGAACAAAATCTGGCCACGAGTATTTAAAAAAAAATCCAAAATCAGGACAGTAAATAAAGAACAACACTCAAAAACAGAGGAAGTCCAGACACGAATCAAGCAGGGTCAGGTAACACCTTCCAACAAAGGATCCCCCAGGCAAGAATCAACCAGGTTTTGGAGCTGCAAGGCTATTCAATGCTTATCAAGGTGGACAATTGCAACATTCACACTTATCTCCAATAGACAAGAGTTCTTTCTCCAATCGTCAACATTCCACAGATATATAAACCTCACTTGCCTAGTTTCGAAACAGACCCCACAACCTTTGAGGATGCTTGCCATAAATGTGGGTGGAATGTCAGGAGAAAATGCTTCTGGAACATGGCCATACACCCCGGAAAACCCACAACATTCTTAAGTATCCTGTTTGTATTTTGGATGCCCTGCTGTGTTTTGGGGGTTTCCCTCAACAAGAACCAATTAGGAAATGGCATTTATAACCCCAGAACAAAAACCATATTATATAGTGTTGTGAGTATTATGTTTGCTCTACTCCGAACTCAAGAATGGAAAATGGAATGTGGGAGGACAGGAAAAGAGATTTAAGGATTTAAAGATGGGCTCAAAGCCAACCTTAAAAACTATGGTATAGACACACAGAACAGGGATGCCCTGGCCCTTCAGCGCTCTAGCTGGAGGTCAGCTGTGACCAGCAGTGCGGTAGAATTTGAAGAGGCACAAATGGAGGGCGGAAGGGAGAAACGTGCCAAGAGGAAGGCAAGTCGACGATAGTATGATCGCTGGATCCAGAAGCTCTGAGCGTTATGCACTTTCCGCAACAGCGGCTGTGAATAAGGGAAGGGACCATGTGGTTCAGAGAGGGGGCAGACTGACAGCGAGGAGAGTGTCACACTGAGGTGGAAAGATAGAAAGGAGGGGAGGGTTAGGATAAGGTTTAGGGTAAGGGTTAGGGTTTGGGATAGGGTAAGGGTTAGGATTAGGGGTTAAGGTTTAGGGTTCTCCCATTAAAGAACTCTTACATTCCTTCTGTGTTCTGTTCTGCGTTGCGCAAACAGCGCTCCCGAAAGAGAGAAGCGGAAAATAGCGTAATGCTCGGAGTTTCCAGACCCAGGTATCATACTATTACCGGCAAGTCAAGCCAACCCCGTCTGGTACCACCTTTTACCTGGAAACTGATGCCCTCACTGCAGGAGAACATGCAGGCCAAGAATAGGGTTCTACAGTCACCTACGGACCCAACACCAGGACACCAAACTTAGAGGACAATCTTACTCGGATCGCCTAAGTAAGTAAGATGTGCATCCCGTTTTATCTCTTGTGATTGCAGCCTCATCTACACTGAAGATGTATTGCAGTTTCAAGGAAATGGCTTTGCTGTGCAGGTAAGGATAACAGAGGGAATCTGGAACTGGATGGAGGATGGGCTTCCTTTGATGTGCTCTTGAGGGCCCTGGAGGGAAGGAAGGCCCAAGTTGGCCCAAGCCTGGTGCAGACTGTAATGAAGTTATTGCAGTTCAGAGGGAGTGACTCTGAATACCTGGGAGTCACTCTGGACCGTGCTCTTACCTACAAGAAGCACTGCCTGAATATCAAGCAAAAAATGGGCGCTAGAAACAATATCATATGAAAGCTGACTGGCATAACCTGGGGATCACAACCAGACACAGTGAAGACATCTGCCCTTGCGCTATGCTACTCTGCTACTGAGTATGCATGCCCAGTGTGGAACACATCTCACCACGCTAAAACTGTGGATGTGGCTCTTAATGAGACATGCCGCATTACCATGGGGTGTCTGTGCCCTACACCACTGGAGAAATTACATTGTTTAGCCGGTATTGCACCACCTGACATCCGCTGGGAAGTAGCAGCCAATAGTGAAAGGACCAAGGCAGGGACAGCTCCAGCTCATCCCTTGTTTGGGTATCAGCCAGCATGTCAATGACTTAAATCAAGAAATAGTTTTCTAAGATCTATAGAGACACTCGCTGGAACACCTCAGCAAGCGAGAGTTCAAAAGTGGCAGGCTCAAACCCAGAACCTCAATCAATGGCTGATACCAAATGAGCGACTGCCCCCTGGGCACACAGAAAACTGGGCGACTTGGAAGGTGCTGAATAGACTGCGCCCTGGCACCATGAGATGCAGAGCCAATCTTAAGAAATGGGGCTACAAAGTGGAATCCATGACATGCGAGTGTGGAGAAGAGCAAACCACTGACCACCTGCTGCAATGCACCCTGAGCCCTGCCACATGCACAATGGAGGACCTTCTTGCAGCAACAGCAGAAGCACTCCAAGTGGCCAGATACTGGTCAAAGGACATTTAATCAACTACCAAGCTTGCAAACTTTGTGGTTTGTTTGTTAAACTGATTGGTTTTCTCCTGACGCGATAAATGAATGAATGAATGAATGACGAGTTCCGCGGGCCTTCCGGGCGGGCCTACCTGGAGGACGGAGGAGCGCTGGAGCACCTTGTCCCGGAGGTGGGGGCAGGCGTCGAGGGCGTGTCGGAGGGGCCGGTGGGCGGGCTCGTCGAGGAGGGCGCGGTGGAGGGCGAGGTCGTGGCGGGCGAGGAGGCGCAGCTTGTCCCTGCGGAAGAAGGTGGCGAGGCCCTCGTGCTGGCGCTCCTTGAGGCGGAGGAGGCCCTCCAGGCCGGCGGCGTCGAGGGCGGGGCCCAGCCCGTCGGCGAAGGCGGCGCGGTCCACCTCTTGGAGGCAGAGCAGGTCGGCGCTGTAGCCGAGGAGCTCCTTCTGGAGCAGGCACTGCCGGTAGTCCATCTCGAGGGCGTAGGGCGCGCAGTAGGGGTAGAGCACGGTGCGGGAGAGCTCGCTCTGGGCGTAGGCGTCGGCCAGCACGTTGTAGCTGACGGCGCGGAGCGAGGCCGGCCCGGCGGGGCGGCGCGTGTAGAGGTGGCGGGCGTCGAAGGAGCAGGCGCCCGGCCCGGCCTCCACGGGCGCCCCGCTCTCCGCCTCGCGCGCCGCGCCCACGCGCCCGCCCTCGTCCCCCGGCGTCACGCGCACCTTCAGCCGGCGGCCCACCTGCGCGTTGCCCGGCGTGAACACGCGCCCCTCCGCGCCCGCGATGGCCTCCCAGCCCGCCCCGCCTTGCTTCTCCTCCTGGAACCAGCGGAAGAGGCAGTGCCCGGCGGAGCCGAACTCGGCGCGGAGCCGCGGGCAGGCCGGGAAGCCCGCCAGGAGCGCGCGCGGGAGCTGCAGCTCCGTCAGGGCGGGCGGGTTGCGCTCCACGCGGAAGCGGGCCTCGCCGATCTGCAGCACGGCGCCCTCCTGCCAGGCCTCCGCGTTGGGCACCTCCTCCGGCACCGCCTGCCCATCCTGCCCGAAGAGCCGCACCGCCGGAGGGGCAGCGGGAGCCGGAGGGAGAGGGCCGGCCGCCTCGGCCTCCGCGCGCGCCTTCTTGCTCTTCTTGGCGCCGCCCTTGCCGGCGTTGGTGGCGATGCGGGCCAGGGCCCGGCCCAGGGGCTCGGACTGGTCGCGCTGCACCTGACGCGTGCTTCCGTCGCCCAGCACGAACGACACGCTCAGCTTCGGCTCCGACGGCACGCAGCGCACCACCGCCCGCTCCATGCCCGCGCCACCAGGAGGAGGAAGAGCACGAGGGCAGCCTCCGCAGCACCTCAGGCCGGGAAGGGCTCTCCGCGCCCCGCACAGCCGCCGCCACATCAACCCCTCGCCCGCCGCCGCCGCCGCCACACACCAGTCATGCCCCGGCTCCTCCTCCCCCTCCTCAGTTGCCAGGCAGCCGCAAGGGCCGATGGGACAACATGGCGGCGGTGAGGCAAAAAGGAAATAGCGCAAGGCCCGCCGGAAATGACGTCCGCCCTATGAAAACCGGGCGGTGGGGCTGTGAGAAAAGGAAAAGCTGGCTCTGAGGCGGGCGCAAGGCTTGCTGGGAAATGACGTCATTGCTATGAAGACAGGAAGAGAAAAAACTTTCTTATTCCTCTTTCCCTTCCTCTTCTTTTTATTATTATTATATTATAACTTTATTTGTACCCCGTTAACATCTCCCGAAGGACTCGATGCGGCTTACACAGGCCAAGGCCTCAAACACAATACAACAATACAATACATAAAGCAAATTAAAAACAGTTAAGCAGGAATAAACAACAGCAGTAAACAATACATCAAAACACTATAAAACTGGGCCGGGCCAGAGTAATGGGTACAAGATTAAAAGTGCTGATGTGGCAGGAGGTATGTAGGATTATGAGTAAGTGCAGTGTGCAGTAATCTTAGTTCTACTAAAGTGCTTCTGGCACTTGGTATTGGAGGTTCCTAATCTGAAAAGGCACATCGGAACAGACTGCTCCCCTTATGTTTCTTCTTCAACGTCTGCTGTTCTATCCCACTTGTCCAACTGCAGTAATACTTACATTGTACATATACCCCTAGAGGTCCTCAGTTTACATCTCTGCTGCTGAAATAGTCCTACCATTTAGCACAATTTAATAGAACCAAATATTGCAATATGTGTCATGTGTATGTTTCCATGGATGGAGGGATTTACAATTAACTTCCATGACATACAACTATCACCCATGTTTCCATATCTTCTGACAAAACCCTGCCAGAGTTACTGGATTTTACAAACCAAGATTCTAACAGACATCACACAAGGGTTTTTTCCATGTCGGGAGCGACTTGAGAAACTTCAAGTCACTTCTGGTGTGAGAAAATTGCCAGTCTGCAAGGACATTGCCCAGGGGACACCTGGACCTGGATGTTTTGATGTTTTTACCATCCTTGTGAGAGGCTTCTCTCATGTCCCCGAATGGGGAGCCGGAGCTATCCCCAGATTTGAACCTCCGACCTACCAGTCTTCAGTACCAGTACTGCCGACTCAAGGGTTTAACCCACTCTACATCCTGCTGCAGTTTGAAGGAGGATGGACTTTGGATGATGGGACTTGCAGTACCTTCACTCACTTACTGAAACCACTGCCACCCTCATCCAATGACTGATAAAGACCAAACTTGGCACACAGAGCCCCCATGACCCACTCTATATCCTGCTGCTGTTTGGAGGAGGGTGGACCATGGGTGATGGGACTTCAAGTACCTTCACTCACTTCCTGAAAACAATGCAACCGTCTTCCAATGACCAATAGAGACCAAAGTTGGCATACAGAACCACCATTACCCACTTTCTCTAATAACCTGGGCAGCGCCGGGTCCCCAAGCTAGTATATAATAAGGGGAGGGAGGGCTCCTATCACACAAGGTGCACCTACACTAGAATTAATGCAATCTGACACCACGTTAACTGCCATGACTCAACGCTATTAGTGTGTGGTACCAACAGTGGTAGAGGCTAAAAATCTTGTAAAACTAGTTCCCACAATTCTTTGGCATGGTGCTGTGGAAGTTAAAGTGGTGCCTGAATGCATTAATTTTACAGTGTTGTTGTTGTTTATTCATTTAGTTGCTTCCGACTCTTTGTGACCTCATCGACCAGCCCACCCCAGAGCCCCATGTCAGCCGTGGCCACCCCCAGCTCCTTCAGAGTCAAGCCAGTCACTTAAAGGATACCATCCATCCATCTTGCCCTTGGTCAGCCCCTCTTCCTTTTTACAGTGTGGATGCATGCAAAGTTTGAGTGCTGAGATTCTGCATTAACTATGTCTGAAACATCTCTTAGGTCTTATCTACGCAGAACATATTTTATTTATTTATATCATTTTTATCCCACCCATATCAGCCCAAAGGTGACTCAGGGCGGCGAACAATCGGCACAATTCGATGCCACATATAAAATACATACATCAATAAAAATGTTAAAAAATCACATTTCATTATATCTAAAAACATCAAACCACTGAACAATAAAACATTTTAAAACCATGTTGTCATATTCAGTTCTCATCCGTTCTGTTGTTTTAGCCACTCCTAGGTCGTTTTCCAATTCAAGGTTTATCTGATTAAGCTGAGGCTCCAAAAGCTTTCTCGAAGACCCAAGTTTTCAGATTTTTTTTTCCGCTTGGTTCTGATACTTTATTGAACATTTTTGTTTTAAAAGTGTTTCCTCCTAAGTAGTGGCCACAGCGGCTGCCTGGGTTCTCTGCACAGAGACTCGAGTGGCATGGGTCTTCGCCAGGTGGTCGGTAAACTTCTGATATGGAGATTTGGTGAAGACTGTCTCCTTCCAGAGGTCGAGGGTCAGATAGCTGTAGGTCTTGGAGATTGCGTCAAAAGTGGCCTTGGCAAAGTTGCCCAAGGTAGCTGTGCAGCCCCCGGCCGAGGTGTAGCAGTTGTCGATGCCAGCCATCATCAGCAGCTTCTTGGGAACTGGGTACCACGTGGTGCAGGAATGAGGCGCACTAGAACTGAGCCACATCAACCGGTGACCTTGCAAGGCACGGTGTGGGGTTTGCTGATCTTGTTGACCTAGTAGCCCCACCTGACTGGCACGATGGACAGCTTGGCCAAGATGATGCCCCCCGGATGGCAGTGGCCACTTCTTTGGAGCATTTGACACCAAGGCCCACGTGGCCGTTGTAGTCGCTGATGGCAACAAACGCCTTGAACTTGGTTTGTTGACTGACACGGGTCTGTTTCTGCACCGGCATGATCTTCAGAACCTCATCTTTCAGAGAGGAGTTGCCAGTCACCAAACTTGGTCGCTTGGTCAAAGACATGAAGATCAAGTCCCTGGAAGAGATCTACCTTTTCTCCCTTCCAATTAAGGAGTTTTCAGATTTTTTTCGAAAGCTAGGAGGGAGGGGGCCGATCTGATATCCCTGGGCAGGGAGTTCCACAGCCGAGGGGCCATCACAGAGAATGCCCTAAAATTTTAGTGTAGTTTCAAGGAAGGATTGGAAAATGGCGTTTCACTGTGCAGATGATTAAGGCTGGATCTACAGTGCCATATAATCCAGTTCAAAGCAGATAATCTGGATTCAAAAACTATATTATAGGACAGTTCAGATGGGGCCTAAGAGGAAAGCCTGGAGATGGTTGGCGATCCAGATAGCAATTACACAAACCACAGACCATCAGTGTGCATTAAGAGCTTTATTTGGCACACTTTTGAGGGAGTTTTTTCAGACCGCTAGCTTTAAATGGTCAGTGCAGATTGGCCCTTGGAATCTTGGGAAGCCACTGGAGGAAATCCTGAAAACTTGGCTCGGAATCAGGTAATTTTTTTTGTTCTATGTAATGTCGAAAGCTTTCATGGCCGGAATCACTGGATTGTTGTAGTTTTTTTTGGGCTGTATGGCCATGTTCTAGAGGCATTTTCTCCTGACGTTTCGCCTGCATCTATGGCAAGCATCCACAGAGGTAGTGCGGTCTGTTGGAACTAGGAAAATGGGTTTATATATCGGTGAAAAGACCAGGGTGGGACAAAGGACTCTTGTCTGCTGGAGCTAGGTGTGAATGTTTCAACTGAGCACCTTGATTAGCATTTGATAGTTCTGTTAGCGGCCTCTAGCGCCCCCTGGTGGCGGCGGAGCGCCTCCTGCGTGCGACTTCCGGCTTTCATCCCAACCTCAACGGCAGGGGGCGCTCGCGCGGCGGTTTCCATGGTGACCAGCTAGCTGTTGTGCTCGTCCTGCTCGGCTTCCTCGCCGCTTGGTTCCCTTCTCCTCCTCCTCCCCGACCCAAGTTTTGTCCAAGAGACTCCAATATATCGAGAGAGGTGAGCGGCTAGGAATAGGGATTCCTGCAGGGAGAGAGGCCAAGGCTCTGAAGAGTTCGTTATGGTTATCATTACGGGTACCTCTGGGTTTTCATGACTGAAAGCCGCTTCAAGCCTCCACTCTCTCTCACTTCATCTCCCAAATGCGTGCAATGTTTCAGAGGGAGCACCTTGGGGTTAGTATTAAGAGGCAGGTGTCCTGGCCAGGCACTAGCAGGGACCAGGGCATCTCCACACTGTAAAATTAAGGCAGTTTGACACCACTTTAAGCTGCTGTGGCTCAGTGCTATGGAGTTATGGGAGTTGTAGTTTTGCAAGGTCTTCCTCCTTCTCTGCTAATTTATGCTGGTTCCTCACCACACTACAAATCCCAAGATTCCATAGCATGGAGCTAGGACAGTTTAATTATTATTATTATTATTATTAACTTTATTTGTACCCCGCTTATTTATTTATTTGTCGTGTCAGAACAACCAGTCAAATTATATTACATTTCTAACAGAAACAAAGCAAACAGACAGAAAAATACACAACTTGTGAGTTTGGTAGTTGATTAAATGTCCTTTGACCAGTATCTGGCCACTTGGAGTGCTTCTGGTGTTGCTGCAAGAAGGTCCTCCATTGTGCATGTGGCAGGGCTCAGGTTGCATTGCAGCAGGTGGTCAGTGGTTTGCTCCTCTCCACACTCGCATGTCGAGGATTCCACTTTGTAGCCCCATTTCTGAAGGTTGGCTCTGCATCTCGTGGTGCCAGAGCGCAGTCTGTTCAGCGCCTTCCAAGTCGCCCAGTCCTCTGTGTGCCCAGGGGAGTCTCTCATTTGGTATCAGCCATTGGTTGAGGTTCTGGGTTTGAGCCTGCCACTTTTGGACTCTCGCTTGCTGAGGTGTTCCAGTGAGTGTCTCTGTAGATCTTAGAAAACTATTTCTAGATTTAAGTCGTTGACGTGCTGGCTGATACCCAAACAGGGGATGGGCTGGAGATGTCTCTGCCTTGGTCCTTTCACTATTGGCTGCTACTTCCCGGCGGATGTCAGGTGGTGCAATACCGGCTAGACAGTGTAATTTTTCCAGTGGTGTAGGGCGCAGACACCCTGTGATAATGCGGCATGTCTCATTAAGAGCCACATCCACTGTTTTAGTGTGGTGAGATGTGTTCC